CGCATGGATTAAGTTTAGCAGGTCCTTGGTTACTGCCTGGTCCCCCAAGTGACAGCATAAGCTTACTGTTCCCCTTCTTGTGCTTCACCCGGCTAAGGCTGCAGGTAAGTAGGTGTTAAGATCAAGACCTTGGACTGGCAGCAACTTGGGGAATTTTCTCCAGTGGAGGGGAGGGAAATAAGTAATAGTAAAGCCCATTAATTGTCTTCTCTATTAGTGGTGATGCCAGATAAACCTACTAAGAAGCTTCTGGAAAACACGGGTGACTATGGTGTGTGTAGTTTTAGATGTAAATGTAATTTTGAAAAAATAGTACCTTCAGCAGATTCACCTCGTGATCAGAGTGGTTTCATTTGGTTCCTTTTCTCCTGTCTGGTTGCTGTTTGATTTTGGCAAATGACTGTTAGTAAATATGAACTAGTAATAGACTCATTTGCCTACTCTATAGCACGGGTGCAAACAGTAGTTATAGTTTTATAAATTTTTTGCAGCAGTGGGGATTCATTTCAATAGTGTATGAGAAGAAATGTCTGCTCTGCATTGGAGTAGGATAATAGTGAAGGAAGTCTAAACTTTCCTCTCCTTTATAGATTGAATATCCCTGTTGACTTAAAAATACAGATTACTTTTTTTTTTTTTTTTAAACAGAAGATGGTTGTTTCTTAAGTTCTCCTTAAAAGCATAGCTGTTCCTGACCTTTGTTGCGTTTGCTTCTGAGAGGAGATTCAGCTGCTTTTCTGTTCTGCATGGACTTCCCCTGCGCAAAGCCCTGATGCAGTTCGGCAGTGAGCTGTGGGGTACCTTCGGGCAGGGCGCAGGCACCTGGTAGCAGGATGACTCAACCCTTTGTCCCTGGAGTCTGGTGTTCAGTTGTATTTGCCTTATGTTTGACTAAGAAATCATCTGTTAGACTCTGGACAACTTTCCTACGCTTTCCTAACGCTAACTTAATGGATGTTTTATTTAAAACTTCAAGGTACATTTATTTATTTATCATTGTAATTTACTTACATGGATATATACTGTGATTCTGCTTTAATAATCCTTTCAAAAATATGTTATTCAAGGCAATTGAGAAAGATCATGCAGAAATGGTTTAAGAGCTCACTTTTTAAAAGGGAGCTATTTAAACAGGTTAGTCACAACCGTGAGTCACTCGAATTGAGTCATACTTGCTTTCTGGTAGCTATAGATAATACGGTGTTCCTGTTTCTCCATGCAGATATGACTAATGCTGTGTTCAGGACTATTGCTGCTTTGGAGGATGATTTTTCTCTGCTCTGCATGATGCCTTATCTGAGAATATTTTCACATGGGGCAGTATATGATGTCGTTATTTGACCCGTCCTTTCAAAACACTTGAGTGGTTGATGGCATAGAGCAAGCAATGAAATGTGTGCCAAATGTCGAGCAGAGGCGAGAGACGAGCAAGGAAGGAACCTCGCTTTGAGTCCGTGATTTGAACGATTTCTGTAGGGACTAGTTTAAGATACTAACAGTCATTGAGCGCCTTGAGCCACCCACAGCAGCTGAGACAGGACCTTTAAGGTGGTTATACAGGCTGGAGATGGTCTGTGGGCAACAATCTGTAGGCAAGTGTGGCGGGGGGGATGACACAGGTATATGCTGCTGAGCTGATAGCGGGCTCGATGGTTTAGTAACTGCTGAAGCTGGTTTTGGCTGGGTTTTGTTTCTTCTGTATTTGTAGTGAATGTGCATCAGCACAGCTACCGTGTTAGGCACAATACCAGAGCCTTTACAACTATCGTTCCAGCAACAGATTACCACAGTGTATATCGGCCAAATGTTTTCAGCTCGATGGCTACCTAAAATTAGTCTGAAAGCACGTGGGTGCTTAAATGTGGGTGTAGGAGCCTGGATTTAGGTTAGAAAATGTAGGCTGTAGTTCTTCAACATCAGAAAAGAGAGGGGAGTCACTCAAGCTCTGAATATGCCTACATTGAGACTGCAATATTCACTGTTGCTTTTTTTTTTTTAAGTACTGTCAGCATTTTTTGCTAATATAATATTTTGCAGTCAAGACTTCCTTCCTATGCAGTCTTGATAGAAAAAAATTATAGGCAAGGTTTCAAGGATAATTTGTTATTTTTCACTGGTTCTGCTTTTGTGAACGTTTCTAAAGACTCTGCTTCTCTCCAAAATGAGTAGCTCACCTAGAAATAAAGCCTTTTTCCAGGACTGGTATCTTGCTGATTGGCGCTGTGTGATTGCTAGGTGAAAATCATTATTAAAATTAGGATGAAAACGTTTTTCTTATTTTTACTTCTCCTCTACGTAGTAGAAAATCAAAGACAATTTTCCCTAGTCAAGCAAAGAAATCGGGGGACAAGCGGTTTGAGTTAGAAAATGCAGCGGCGGCACAAAGAGCACACAGTATGCTTTACAACAAAGAAGCCGAATGCCTCAAAAAGGAAAAATAATTTTCACTATCCTTTTGTAACAAAACCATTACAATAGATCGCGAAGTGGTAAAGCTGCTTCCTGCACAAATAAATGTCTTTCCCATATGCTTGTTTCATTTTGAGCAGATCTGTACTGGAAATACTTGAGTCACAAATAGTTTTGATGAGAGACCAAATTTATGTGAGAAAGGGGTCGTTTGTTCAGTGTCATCAGTTGTCGTGAAGCTAGACAAGGTCATCCCAGAGAAAATTCTTTCTAATTCTTTCTCATCTTTCTAAAATTGCTTTCTAATTCTTTTTGAGCTGTAAAACTTGTTGCTAACCTGATATGAGAACCTATCAAAACAATTAACCATTTAAAAAAGCACATAGGGAATGTGTTTTATAACCAAAGGACTGCCTGCTGTCTTCTCCATGTGTTACAGCAGTTTACTAGACTATTTCTAAGACCTATGTGAGATATTTTAGGTCAGAATGAAAATATGTCTCTTTTGCAAAGTCTCACTAAGTGAGATGTATCTCGGTCCTGGGAAGCGGACCTGCCCCTAGCTGGTGGGAAACAGCTGCCAGGTTAGCCCCATGAGAGTCCTGGACCGCTGTAGGGACCGTTGAGCCGTACGGCCAACGCACGCTCGTGCTGTCAGCAGTCGGTCACCTGGGGACTGGCTGTGCCAGGATTCAGGTCTTTAACAGGGCACCGTTAAAGAGACCCCTTGCTGGTCTCTTCCGTGCAGGAGAACAGCAGTAGCTTCCTTGCATATAAGGATTCATGTAATTCAGTATTTAAACATCAAACTAAAAATGTTTCCAGATGTCAGAGCATGCACTTGAGAATGGATTAAGGTGCCTTTAGGTAAATACTCAAGTTTGAAAATACTATTAAATTAATGACAGTTGGTTTGTAGAATAGAGGCAGGTTAAGTGGTAAGAGCTTTGTTGTGAAGTAACCCTGAGTGCAGTTCAGATGAGGGACTTTTTGAAAAGCCATGGTTTTTGTGAGCGTCCTTTGGTAAAGACGAGTGTGTGCTCAGAAAGAGAAACTGCGTGCAGGGTTCCCTTGCGTACTCTCTTGAGCAGTATGCAGTGCGGCAGGAGAAGAAGAGACGGAGAGTACAGATGGTGGCGTGGCTACGTGGATGTTTCCTCAGCTATGTAAAGAAATGAAGTCCTTGTGATTCAGTGCGTGCCATTGGTTTATGTGCTCCCCAAACAGCCATCTTACCAAAAAAAAAAAAAAGTGCTTGTAAGTAATGATGAGGTGGATTGGAACACATTTTATAAAAGATCTCTGTGCTGTTTCTTTACATTTTCTGCAGGGTTCTGGTTAGGTGGCACAAAGCTGAATATGTTGTCCTAGGATTGTATTACTTTATTTCTGTAGTGCGCTATCTCTCGTCCTGGCTATTTTGCTGTGTTAGAATAAATAATCTGCTGAGAAGGTATCTTTGGGTGGAAAAGAATTTCTTCTGTCTTTCCCTCTGCCTAAAAAAAGGAGAAAAATAATTTGCTCCCTGGAGGGAAAGGAAAAAAAAAAAAAAAGCGTTGAGAGTTAAACACTTCCTCATACTTCTGAAGAACAAACTTTTAATCTGTGCTGTGGAGCAATGCATCATGCCACATCCTACTGGGAAGCTAAAATAGTAGGTGGCAGGACACCAGCACAGATCGTAAGCCTGGATAGAAATAGAAGTCAGATAAAGGAAGACTACTTGCTGTAGGAAGAAATTATAATAGCAAGGTAGAAGCTGAGCAACAGAGCAACAGTTGACCACTGACTGTGGCTGTTAACATTAAATGGCTTATTTGTGACTTCTCAGGGAAACACAAATGCAAAGACATAAGTCGGAACTGGTGAGACTTTTCTGATGTCAGTGGATCATGATATTGGAAAAGTTAATGGTCTGAATCAGTGCTTCTCAATGTCACTCACTGTACGTTATAGTGACGAGAAATTCAGTAAGAACAGCTTGGGAAAAAAACGATGGGACTCATTACCATGCATTTTTCCACAGTGGAAAGGAGAAGGAGCACCTGGGGCTTCATAAATTCACGCAAAAGTAGATGAGCTAACGCCCATAAGTAGAGAGACCTCCCCCAGCTGCCTGTCACAACTGCACTTCATGTTGTGAGGCTCTGTTCATGTTGCTTGTTCTCTTAATTCTGGATTTCCTTCGTCCCTTCCCTTTATGTCTTCCAATACCAATTTTTTTTTTTTTTGATGACCAAATTCTTTTCTCTTCTTTTCTGTCTGGGAGGTAAGATGACTGGAAGAAATATTGTGCTGAACTAACAACCAGAAATAAGTCAGCAAAACGCAGTTCCTGGTGGGCTCTTAGCGCGGCTCAGCAGGGCTCCAAAGGGGCCTGAGAGAAGGTGGATCTGTCTTGTGTTTTAGATCTATGTGACGCATGTAGCAAGTTTAGAAAAGGACATGTAAATAAACACGTTACATCAATTCTGGCTTAATGGCATCGACTCCTCTTTCGACCCTGCCGGCCCCTGAAGTGAATAAACACTCAGCAAAGGGAGTAGCAAGATTCATATGTTTAAAGAAAAGATACCGACTTGGGTGAATGGGATTAAAAGGCTCTCTGTGAGATCCTTTGGCTTGTACAGTCGTATCCTATTTGTGCGAATGGAGGTTCCTTGGTTCTCAGATGCACGAAGCAATGTTATCTTTAGTTTTTCGGCAATGCCAAATGCAGCGAGGAATGCAATAGAAAGGTAAGATCTGCACCTAAATATGCCAGTATTTTCATGTGTTTCCAGAGGAGAGGACGTTAGGGTTATTTATTATCCTACAAGTGTCTTAACTGAGAGTTTATACGTTTGTAACTGCATCTGTTACTGTTTTTCTGTTTTGAGTTTTAGTCATCACGCTTGGTTGTAATATCAGCAGTGCTTGTTATTAAGAATATTCAGAATATGATCTAGATTCATAAATAGAAAGTAGCTTATGTTACAAATGAAGTGACAAGTAATGGTATAGTTTTACATTGCAAGTCTCTGATTACTTAATACATTAATATTTGATAATCTGTTGGCACCAGTTAGATTTTCCTGCAATGTAACAAAAATAGCTTGGGAGAAAGTAGGAAACGAGGCAGCAATGACAAATACTCAAGAACTTGAAGGGTCTGCCTGGCTTTAGGGCGCGAAAGGTGTTCAGGTACATCCGGTCAAAGAGATCGGCCCTGCTGGTCTACAGATATTGTGGGCAACATCGTCAGGTGGCATAAACCAGCACGGCTTCACGTGGGGCTCGAGAGCAGCCTCTTGGGGTTTCCTGCTTGTAGCCAGAGCGGTGGAAAACACACGCTCTCGGGGGGGCTATGAACTGGAAAAGGGCTTAGAGTGAACTCGATGGGAGTCTGTTTTTAATCTTACCTGGACTCTCATGCAGGCATCGCTAGGACAAACCAAGGGACGTCCTGTGGCGCACTGCACAGGCTGGAGGAGAGGCCCCGTGTCCTTTGAGAATATGTAATTGCTGATGAAAAAGCATTGGCGCATCAAAGAGGTTTTGGTTATGTCTCATTGAGAATAAGCCGTGACATTGAGCGGGGCTTGCTGTAAGTTGGTTTTATGCTGCCCTGGCTTTTGACGAGGTTCATCAAATTGTTTTCCCCAGATGTCATTTTATATCAGTCTGTCTTGTGTGCTGTTGGCACAGATAAAGCTGCAGGTGAAACAAGGTGGAATATATATTGCAGTGCTAATTAAATGTGGACAGGGAGCAAGATTTGCCAGGTACCTCATGTGTGGGTAGATTACCACAGACAGGTACGGAAGAAGGCAAATAACGAAGTCATTCAGGTTTATGTTTCTGTGAATAGATGCTTAGAAGCATAACTGAAATATGTTCGCACACAGATGCATACGCGCGTTTTTTTCTCCCAGCCTTGCAGTAGTCAAAGAAAAAACTGATCTTGAATTAGTGCTATGTTGAATCTAGCCTGAGTGTGGTGTAACCCTGCTGGAAGTAGTTTCATCTGTGGCAGTGCTAAATTATCTGCTGTGGATGACTGCAGTCAAGCAGATGTAGTGCCTGTAAGGCTCAGTCACTAGCAGCAGTCGGACTGACACAAACAGGTTTAACAGAAAGCCCAGCGCACACTGGATCGTGATTCGTGGGCATCTTTACAGAGATTTTCAGCAGAGCCAGCGGGACTTTGTAAAGCGGCTTGTCCTTTAATAACGAGAATAGAGGCACAGTTCTGTATTTCTGATAACAAAGTACCTTAGCACGCTTTCTCAGGTCTGCAGCTCTTCCTGAAGTAGGCTTGTGCTAGCTAACCTGGGGCCCGGTGGAGGCGTAGCCTTGCCGCAGGGAGCTCCACGGCTTGGGCTCCCTGACCCAACTATTAACCGCGCTGTCAGGAGGATCCCTGCCTGGCGGGGCTGGCGCCTGCTCTGGTGCATGTACGCGAGCACCAACATAACCCAAGGGATAGGACTGCAGTGGTTCACAAATCGGAATTTCTAGTCCGCACGAAGGTGTGCCTTTCCGTAATTTTTCTCCCTTTGAAAGAGCAGGGATCTAATTAGTGTGTGACTGTGCCTTTTGGACTAGAGGGTAGGTGCCATCTCCCCCAGCACAAACCTGGATGCGCTAAGGGAACGCATGAAGGCTTTATGGGCCCGTTACTCAGAAGGCTTTAGCGTAAGAAAGTATAGGCACGGTTTTGAATGCTCTCCAAAGTAGCTTCAGAAACTGTAACCCTGAAGCTCTGTGCAGCTGCAGAAAGCTTTATCCAATCCAACGTGTTTATGCCTTACAGGATTGCCCTGGATTGGATTGTAACAAATGTGTCTGCACCTACATTCAGCTCAAGTCTCTTCCTGTGCGAGCGCCTCCGTGCATTTTAAGACGTAAAGCAGGATCAGCTGAACGCTTTTCCCCCCCAGCTCCATTCATTCAGATGGTGTGCTAATTAGGTCACTGAGAGTATCGAAGAGGGAGAAGCTGGAGTGAGTGCTCACAAACTGGCTCCTGCATGTAATTGCTGTATTTTAGTTTAATTTGTCTTAAGACGGGCCCTGACGTCTCTGAGAATGTTATCCCTGCAGAGGCAGAGGCTGCATGTCAAGAAAGCAAGTCTACGAACACATGAATATTTTGAGCTGCTGAGCATGGCTTTTGGTATTTATCACTGCAGGAAGGAGGCATGTGACTTCTTTCTCACATGGCAGTTCCTTGCTTTATGCCGTACTGATTGGAAAATCGCATAAAACATCCTGCAGGATCCCTTCTGAGGAAAGGGCAAGGCATGGGCATGATAGACCATCCATGGTGCGGACTTTTTTTTTTGCAGGAGGAGCCCTACTCTCATCCCATTAGAAACCCTGATGTGCTGGAAGAGAAGGGGCTTGCTGAAGGCAGAGCTGAGTGATTACGGAGAGCATAGGTTTGTTTTCTGCTTAAATAAAAATGTTCTGTCCTACCGGTGACCTCAGAAGTGGCAGCATGACTTGGCAGAAAATCATATGTAATCTCCTCTTTGGTGGGGTTGGCTGTGTTTTGGCCGTGAAAGCATGTGCTTGTGTACCGGCAGGTAGGTGTAGGATCTCCCCTTTTGTACAACTTGAGAGGGAGATGATGGACTGACGACGGACTGACGATGGACTGATGGACTGAGAGCTCAGCGTGTTGCTGTTTGGCAGGAGCACGTGGAGTACTCCAAGGCAAACAGATTTGCTCAAAATTTTTATAAGTCGCTGAGCTCCGCCTCTTCTGGCAGGGATGACTTGACGATGCAGAGAGGCGACGGGGAGATCTCCTTCCAACTTTCCCTGTGTTTGGGTAGTGGAACATGAGTAATGTCTTCCCAGCAGGTGGAGGGAGGCACCTGGGGCTCTGTGCGGTGCTGTGGGCTGTTGTGCTCCGCCGTGACTTCCTCCGGGGCTCCCTTGTACAGCCTAACCACAGTGCAAAATGCAGCTGCCTCTGATGCAGCAGTTTCCTGGTTGGTGCACAAGTGCTTTGGGCTCTGTGGAATAACAAATAATAATAAAATAGTCTTGCAGTGAATGCTAATCACACTCTACAGGACTGCACTGCATTTGTCATTAGCAGATAGTAGATGTTAAATGCAGAAATACCTAGTTTTCCCAACACCTTAGAGAATTTAGATTTTTTTTTTTTTTTTTTGGTAAATAAGTAATTCTCCCGCTAAGCGAACAGTTTATTTCCCGGTAGAAATTCTTCATTATTCTGTAGTTAAGGTTGAAAGGCCTCGTCATTTGCTTCAGCCAAAAGTGCCCTTAAGGGAACATAGACGTTTGCTCAGACCAGATGAGCAAGGTCTGGAAATGGAGGCTCAGGGTTCTACTTTGCGGATGAAACCAGGCTGTTGCAAAGTTTTCAGGTGGATGGCCGTTTTGACAACCAAAGTTTGGCAGGCTTCCTCCTTCCCTCCCCCTGTTTTTCTGACCTTTTGATCTTGATGATTGCGCTCTCTTCTGGTCTCCTGAAGCTGGAACTCCTTCTGCCCACTTGCGCCACGTGACCTCTCTCTTCTCTTGCAGTCCTCTGCAACTGCGCCTTACTCTCTGTGTAAAGCATTCACTGGCGGATCCATGTTCATAGTGCCAACTAACGCTCCTTTGAGCTTATGAATGTATCGTTTGCACTGTGCATGTGTCTTTAGCATGTGCAGAACTGAGCTGGAGGCTAAGTGATTCCCATCTCAATCTTCCTCCTTGTCTAGCAGTAATTCTCTTGCTGATGCAAACCAAATAAAGACAGGAATTTCTATGCCAGTCTGTTTTACAGCCATAAAAAGGCAATACATATTAGTCAAATTTTCAGAAGTGGAAAGTGATGTATTTCTGAATTCTGCTATCTCCAGAATATGTGTAGATATTTGTGAGTGTTGGGCTTTGGAATTCTCCAACGTTTTTACCCTCAGCTGAGACTTGGCATGTGATATTTATGTTGGCTTGACCAACTTTTGGCAAAAGAGGATGAAAACAAATCTCGGCGTAAAATGGGAAGCTTTTTGAGAGAGAAAGCGTCTTTCCATAAACGAGATTTTGCAAAAACGTGATTCGCTCAAACTGTCCAGCATAACTAACGAAAAACTGATAAAAGCCTTTACTTTCAGAAGAGAAAGGTGTATTTTAATGACTTCAAAATATAAGGTCATTAGAAGTATATCTGCTTCTGATGCTGTTCAGGGGTGAAGTCCAAAGCTTATGCACGAACAGGTGTAGTATTACTTTCATCAGGACTTAAGCATGATGAGAGACCCTGATACGTTATCTGAATGTTGCGAAGAATTGTATCTGGCACTAAGAGTTGTAATATGTTGAAGAGCGATGTTTTACAGTATTTCAGGCCTGAGTGGCTTTCACTACATTACTCAAAACGAGGAGTAACAGCAATATTTCACCGTATATAGCTGAGCTGAGTCTTAGCGGGGACAAGAGGTGCAGCTTCTAGCGCCGTTGGCTCTTCTCTGTGTGGCGGAGGAAGGCCAGGGAGCCTCTGCTCGTGGCAGATGTGTGGGAGTCAGTGAAGGGAAGTGGGGCCAGCTGACAGACCCAGGGCCACATCAGTGGTGAAATAAGCTTTTCCCCTTCAAGAGGGGAATTAGTTCCTCCTAGGAATAAAGGGAGAGAAGGAAAGTGGATGTGAATCGATCATAGATCCTTCCTTCCTTCCTCGGGCTCCCCCAGGAGCAGCCCAGCTTCATCTGCCTGATCTGAACTTTAGCTGTGAAGCACTAACTGATCGTGGTTTTACTTGACCTTTACTTTTATGCATTTATTGATACCATTCTGTTTTACATGAAATCTCTTTTTGTTGAGTGATTTCACAACCTTAGCTCTTGTAAGAAGAGACCCTCCAGTAACACTGGTAAAACACGATCACTTAAACAAGTGGAAGCAAGTTTGTGAGTAAAGTACTGAAGTTCCTACAAATGACGCAAAAGGTTAGATGACATTTTTAACTTGGTTTCAGTCCAGAGCGTCCCTATTTTATGAACTGGTCTTCAGGCATATTCTATTGCTAGTAATAACAGCAAAGCACCACTGTCAGCATATTTGCACACGGTATGAATTAGCAGAGAATTGGACCTTAAATTTATACGTAGAAACGCAGAAATTGTGTTTACAAGAGCATTCTGTGTTCGTTCCCCTTTGTGTGTGCGTGCACATGTCTGTAGAGGAGTGAGGATATATACGTAGTCTCTTTTTGAGCTCTTTTCCAAACAGGCTGTGATGTTTACTGGTGTGATTTTGTGACAAAAAGGTGGGATTCCTCCATTACCCGATTGAAATACCCGCCGTACCTAGCCTAAGCATTTAAAATCAAGAGCCAAGCACTTAAGCATTATGACATTCATTTATTAAATATGATCTAAGATTTTGTAATTGCCCTCTATTTTTTTGAGCACATAAATGGAACTTTGGATTTCCACAAGAGCTAGAAGCACACCTTTTATTCACCTGCTCTCCTGCAAATACAAGAAACAATAAAGATGTTTGTATTTGTACAGGCAGACCTTAGTAACTGGAAATAGAGGGAGGAAAAAAAAGGTAAACAGCGGTAAGATGTCTAAGGCAAGATTCCAGTGCTAACCGTCAAATTTAGCTTTTCTGTTCACCCTCCTCTTACAAAACTTTCGTCTTGGTAGGGTAGAAGTCATTATATACTGGCTATAATATTCTGATCCCCAGATAATTTGTGTCATGATATAAATGGATGTTCATACAAATATGAGAAAGAAAAGAGCCGATCAATGTGCGTGCGTCAGGTAGAAAGGCTGGGGAGAGATGACGGTAAGGTACAGCATGACGATAAGGCTGCCTTGCCCCGACGCACCTGCAGCGCAGGGCATGTGGCAGAGGTGTGCAGGCAGCGTGGTGCGGCCTGCCGTGGGGGGGAGGCTGGACCTCCCCGCGGCCCTGCTCCCCGACGCGAGAACGCCGTCAAGCTGCTGTCGGGTTTGGGGATGATTCAAGAGTGTATTTACAGGATCTGAGAGGTGCCGTTTGAGGGGGAATTCCACCGTGGCTCCAGGAGTCGTTTGCTCTATCCCAAGTTGACCCTTGTAGGCTGTATTACATCAGGTTTAAGGCATTTTGCTGCAGGAGGGCAGCAGCCTGTTCCTTTCGTAGGAATGGTTTTGTCTATTGCTTGCTGTTCGCTTAATAACCTTTTGCTACTTGAACTGTCCTTCCTGCCAGATGATTTTTTTCACAGCTTCCCCTGGGGTTTGGCCATGAGCTGAGTGTGTAAGAGACCACTAAAGAAGGGAAAAAGCCTCCAGAGGTCTTAACTGAGCAACCCTATTTTAAGTAATAAAAAAAAAAAAAAAATTGTGTTTGATGAGCCAACTGAATAGAGCAAATGTTGAAAGAACAGAATACCAGCTACTTGCTTATAAACCCAAGCCTTTTTTAACACCACTGTTACAGTTATGAAAGCATATGACCCCTTCCTGAGCCTCGCAGACTACCTGCATCCCCGTATTAATTCAAAGCGCTGCTGGATGGGCTTTGTGAGCGTTGTAAGGCTAATCCCTACAGTTCCTTGATTGCGAGCATGTGCAGAGCAGGCTGAGGTACGGTTGTGCATGCGGAGCTGACACAGAGCCTTGCCTTGCAATGCCATGTTTGTGCATGCTCCGACAGCTGAGCGGGAGCCAGGGAGCCTGCCTGCCTTGCTGACCTATCTGATGTTTTCTTGTTTCTGTTTCAGCATTCAGGATAATTCCTTCAGCACCACAGCTTTAGCAGAGTAAGTGAACACTTTAACGATGTGCCTTATTCTTAAATATGAATGATGAATTTAGCTACTGTCGAGAATAATTATAAGTACTATGATGTGAGGAATCCCAAGTCTTCTGTCGTATTTTTGGTTCAGTTTTCTGTAGTCTAAGTATATTATTGAGAGTATGGAAAAGATTGCATGGAACAGTTGCCTTTACATACGCTCTGTAACCATTTAGCAGTGAAATACTTTCTGGGGGAATATGTTTTTGATGTACATCACACATGTTTAAATGCATGACTCTTCAGCCTGGTATAAATCTCACGTGAAAATACTGCTCACTCGTGATCCTGATGATCTTGACAAACACGAGTGTCAGTTTTCTAAGAACACATGGTCTGTACTTCCTGCAAGCATTAGCAGAAAAAAAAAAAGCATTCTTTGCAAATATTTGGTACAAAATAATTTTACATTATTTAGACAGGTCAAGGAGCAAATGCATTGTCTCTTTGCCATCAATTCAATGAACCTATTAGGAGGACTTTCTTTTATATCCTGACAATAAGGCTATATATCCTGATCTTCTTTATGTGTGTGTTTTACAAAGAGGCAACAGAACAAGACAAGGGGGAGAACATTAGGAAGTTAGAAAGACAAAGGCTTTAGTAACTGTTGCAAATAAAATATTCTTTGTTTTTATTTTATTTTTCAATTTTGGCGTTGAGTTCTCTGTGTGATAATTTGCATGCTTTTGATTGTTTCGAAAGCTTTTAGTGAAGCAATAATGTGCCAAACGGTTTCTCAGGAAGGAAATGATTTATAGATTTGTTTGTGTATTAGGTAAGTTTGACGTTGCTAAAATACTGTTTGCTTAAGTGTTGTGGGGAGATGATCTATTTTGAAAGCAAGGCCAGGTTGTAATTCAGTCTGAGCCATTCCTAAGTGTTGTCAAAATCACTAAAGCAAAAGAGAGAAAACAATTTATAGGGATCCGAATGACTTTCAGCCTCTTGCATCCCTGTCTTGCTTTATTTGATGTTTGAATTTAGTCGCTCTTTTTGTGTGATTGTGATAAGTACCAAAAGACTTAACACAAGCTGATGAGTCATTAATTCCTTTATAATTATTTTCCTTTGTTCCCGTTGGTAAAGGAATGAATTGTGTTCTATAAAATTTTGGGATGCTCCCCCTTCTTAGAAGAATAGCCAGATCACAGGAACTACATGTTTTGTATTTCAGTCTTTGTTTTTCTCTGTCCCTTAAGTACTTTCATCATTTTACATGGAGATTCACCTGCGGAGGCCCCGACACCTGCCTTAGGCTTGGGGTTATCCAGAATGTGAAAGTGATGGCCCTTCTCTGTGCTGCTTCACGTCACCATTAAGACAAGGGCCATGAGGGCAGAAAAGCTTCCTGTGTGGTGTCCGTGCTGCTGCTGGGCAAGGGCAGGAGGAGAGGGACGCGCTCAGTGCGGTGCCAAGCTCAGGGGCAGCAGCCTGAGCTAAGGCTCAGCCAGGAACTGCCTGAAAGTTGAATATCCCTCATTTAAGCTGTGGTTGGTTTTGTTTTAGTGGCTTTAATTTTTAACTTTATCTTCACAGACATAGCAGTAGAAATATGCTTTTAGAAAACAAAGCAAGAGAACAATCGTATCAAAAAGCACTGTCCAAATAGTCAAACCTGGTTTCCGTAGTTGAGTTCCTTAAACCCTGTTTAGAGCCTTTTTCACTAGCGCTTGTTTTTGAGAAGCGCTGAGAGTACACGCTTGTTACTGATTTAGCACTAGTTGTTTGTGCCGGGCATGTCTGAAAAGAGGTCACTTCTATTTAGCAGAATGAAGAGAGAGCTTGCCATTCTACCTTAGACAACCCCATTCAACAATTTTGTCTTAAATTGTGGCAAAGGCAAAAATCAGGGCTTCATGAAAGATACAAAAGCAGCGATACAATATTTTCAGGAACGTTTCTCCAGAGAAGGCAAATGCCTAGGGCTTCTGTGCTGCCAGCAAGCCATGCGTACAGCTTGGTGGAAGAGAAGTTGTTCGTGTGAGCATCTTAAAGGTCAAGTTTGCAAAAGGAGGCAGCTTTCGAGCTGTACTGAAATGGTTACTGTGGAAAGGTGAAAAGGGCAAAAAAAAAGAAGAAAAAAAAAAAAGAAACAGACAAATGAGAAATCTCTGGAAGAAATACACACAGGCATTGTCCTACAGAACCGGAGCAGCAGTCCGTCTGGACTGGGATCCCATCCTTGACCTGACTCTGGCCAGTGCCTTAAGATCAGTAATGGATTTATTTACATTTAAGAGTCATCTCCATCAATCTGTGTTTAGATTGGGCACTCAAGGAAAAGGATACACACAGTGGTGTGGCTTTGTGAAAAGAATTTCCTGCCTGATGTAAGCTTCAGCCCGTACGGGTTTATGACTTGAAGCTCTTCTGGTGTCTGCACTAATGCTAATGAGTGAGATACTGCTGCAGTTTTTGGATTAGTGAAATCTGTCTTCACTACCTGACCACAGGCTTTCACAACACTTACCCAATTCTTGCATATCCCCCTATCTGTTAAATATAGCTGAGATTGGATAATGAGATTTACAAGTTACTAGTGGGAGGAGTGTGTGCATGCGTGTGTTCATAGGTGCAGGTAAGGGGCATGATCACATAAGCTGCATTTCTTTAAGAAACCAAGTTGAAATACTCTGCTTTTTAATGATGGATTTTTTTTTTATATATATATTATGAATTCATCTTCTTAAAGGTCCTGCTACGATCTTAGCCTCAGGCACTGTCTTGTGCGAGTGAGTTGCCATGGTTAATATTCTTTCATACCGGGAGAAAAATTTCTAATAACAGTTTAAGATTTGATGATTCGATGCATGTGAATTTCCTCACGTCTTCTTTTATTATACAGCGGACACTCTGTCTGTCTTCTCTGATTCATTATTTCTTATCCTTCCTTTCTACTGCTTTCCTGTTGCCTAAATACACTAGGTCGTGCTTACTGATGTTGTTTATAAGTTCTGTCCTGATTTGTGACGTTAATGAGTTGCTGGGTGTTAGGTAAGGCTCTCTGCTTCTCGAGCTCACGCTCATTACAGCCAGCTCAATGAAAGCAACTGCCAAGGCATTCCCCAAAATTTAGGACCAGGCACACAGGTATGCACACAAAGCCATAGCTGATGAACCTACACTTAGTCACCCGTCGTCCTTCCCAGAGACTGTTCCCTATTGCCAAAACGGTCTTCCAGGACCAAAGGCCGCAGTGCGCGGCGGTGCCGAGCAGCCTTGGCTGGGCAGAGGGGGCGAGAGGAGCTGGAATCTGAGCTGCTTCCTGCTGCCTCCTCTTCTTCCTGTGGCACACGAGGAGGGAGCGAGGTTCCTCCTCAGTGAGCCCTGGCTCCCATCACCTGTTGTTGCATGGCACGTGGCACGCCTGGTGGCATCTTACTCTGCTCTCACGTGTCAGCTCCCTCCCTGCCCTTATTGTCTCCTTCCTGTGTATTTCCTTCCCATGTCTGCCTCCCTCTGCAGTTTTCCATCATGTTTTCCGTCCAGGTTCCTCATTCCTTTTGTACCAGGTGTCCCTCTTTGCCCCCCCGTTATACTCCTATCCCCTCATCTTGCTGGTGTCAAAGACCCATAAGATGATTACTGGGAGACCAAAGGAGAAGGTGTGACTGACATTGGGAGACAAACAGAGCTAGGTTTCTACAGTGAATTTATCCATTCTGTGTGTAAATCAGTCCCTCTCTTCCATCTGTCATCCCAGTTTGCCTTGTGGGGAGAAATCTGCCCATTGCAGAAACACCACGTGATTAGGAGGGATCTGCCACTGGGTGTGTGTTCACGGTCACGTTCAGCAATGCTTTCAGCCAAATGCTGATACAGTCTGGAAGTGTATACACCTGAGTGTCCTTTTAAATGATTTCTGCAGCAGTCTGGCTTTTGATGAAGATACTAGCAGAAGAACAGTGGGAAAGAGGAATATGCAGAACTGAATTTATCACTTGATGTGCTCTGTCCTAAGCTGGGTAACTCTTCTAAAAATTTAACGAAACAGTGGACGTACAGGCTGCTTCCTGCATAATGAGCAGATTCCTCTGCCAGCAAACTTCGAGTGATCCAGGCTTGCGTAGTGTCTGTGCGTGACAGTGCAAACAGGATGGGGAGAGGGCCCCAGCTTGTGCCAGGAACTAATACCCTGCAAGGGTGTATATATATATATATTTGTTATAAGTGTGTGTGTGTGTGTGTGTGTGTGTGTGTGGGATTGGGATTAAACAGGATGGGGAGAGGGCCCCAGCTTGTGCCAGGAACTAATACCCTGCAAGGGTGTATATATATATATTTGTTATAAGTGTGTGTGTGTGTGTGTATTTATATATATACACATGCACACATGTATATTTGAAGAAAAACTGCTTTTGGGTTTTGCAGGTATATCGGTCTGCAAAGTTAAGCCATGCTGCATGATGTACTCGTCAGCACTGGGGCATTTAGCATATTTATCCAGAATTCCCTTTCGGTTGTGCAGCTATATGGCTTAGGAACAGATTCTGTTGAAATTTTTAACTAAATGGGATGGAATTGTTTGGTTTATTGTGATTCTTCAGGCTTGAAAATTTTCTGAGAGTTTGCTTTTTTAGTCTAGTGATCACTTTGTAATTTAACTTCTTTGGAATTCTTTTTCCTGCTGCTGGTACCACAGAGAATTACTGCTTCACTATTGGTAAGATTTCTGTCAATCTAGAAGGAAAACACCTTTAGTTAATTATTTTTTGTAGTACTTTTTTTTTTTTTTTTTGAAGTGAAGCATACTGTAAGCAATTAAAACATAGAATTTCTCTGAAATTTTCAGTAATTTTTATGGTAGCAGCCGAATTCTTTGTCATATTATTTCCAGCTGGCAGAAAAAGGTGTAACAAATTCTGCACGCTTAATGCTATAAACCCTCTTTCTCCTCTGAGATTTAGAGTATCATGGAGAAGCTATGCCAGTAAATGACCCCAGCTAAAGTGTGAGAAAGAGAAATGTATTTATACTTACTTTGAGCTGAGCTGTCACGTTATTAAAAGCTAAATTTCTGCAGCTACCAGAAAGTCAGCACTTATTTTGTATCCATTTTCAAGGTGTGATGGAGATTCAGACCCTGTGCGTGAAGATCAAGCAGCCAGTTCCAGCCCCAGGTATTCTACCATAAATTTTGTCTAGAGTGCATCGGCAACAAGTAAAACTGTCACAGTGATTCTCTTAAGCCATTAGAAAGGGAATGATTCTCAAGGGAATGCAGAATTTCTGAGGTGTTACCTGTTAGGCTGTTAGTACTTCTGGTAAATGCGTGTTTGCCTTGTGCACTTACATGTAAACAATATTGGGATTAAATATTGTTGTTACAGGAGTATATGTGATGGTCTGCATTCTTAGCTTCGCATCATATTACTTCTGTTCAGATGCAGCTCTGATACTAATACATGGATTTTTACTGTACAAAGGTACACAAAGTAGTGGTGAGTTTGTAAAAGTAGGAGGTTATGCCTGTTGAAGAGCATCTCTATAAATAAGAATTCCTTCAAACTGTAATGGAACTGAAGTATTCTTGAGGTATAAGTCTCTCACGGCTGTGCTAGTATATGTTAATTGCTAGAGGGTGTAGCTTAACCTTCCAGAAAGATTTTTTAATCGGATGATACTTTAAAATTAGCTGCACTTCAGCATATTGTTGAAATACTCATAGGATGTAAAGCAAGCTGCGCTGTAACTGTAACAGCTACCTTGGAGCAAGCTCGCAGGAGAAGGGGTGGGGAGCAATGGTGTCTGACTCCGAAGGCGTCCTGCAGGTGCCTGGCTGGCTGGAGATGGGCCACAGGTGGGAAGCGAGTTTGGTAGCTGAGAATCCTTAGGAGAAAATGTTGATTTAACGAGTTACTCTTTCTAAAAATAATCTTAGAGGGGTTTAATTCGGCTCCCTGGGTTGTAGTAGTTTCACATCAGGAGACGTCTCTCAGCTAACCATAAGGTCTGAAATTCTGTCCGAAACCTAAGTGCCAGCCAGGGCAGATTTCAGAGCGGCAGCACAGTTTGCTCTTCGCAGTGCTAGCCGAGCAGGGCAGCCCCCGCATCCTATGTGGGAGGGCTTCCTTCACCGTGCCGGGGTGAGGCTCCTGGTGGAAGGCGTTAGAGCCGTCCCACGTTGCATCACTTGGGTGGGGATGAGCTCGCAAGAGTGTCCTAGGCACAGAGCTCGGTGGTGACTGAATTCAATCTGTACCGGATTCAGCTCTCACCCGAGCATTCAAGCGCAACACCAGGTCTTCTTAAACGAACAGATACGCTGCCGTGGAGAGCGACCTTTCTCCAAACTTTCGGCTTGGCTTAAGTTTAGACCTGGTTCAGGTTGAGGCCTGGCATTTGATGCTTATCCCTTCTACCCAAACACATCTCCAGCTGTTCAAACCCTGCTTCCTATGTGTGCCTTCCTCACTCTGTCCAGAAGCCTTTAAAAGGATGGGAAAGTGTGGAGGAAGTACTGTGTGTCAGGACGTTTTGGTTCTCACGAGTAGCCTTATTTTAATGGCTCCGCAGATGAATATGTGATAATGGTAACAGTAGTTTAGCTTGCGGTTTGATCATGGTATCCCCTGAGAGAGAGAACCGTTTTATTAACTTAGGCAGTTTTTGTTTGGTATGTAGACAGCTCAAACTGGTGAAATTAAAATTCCGTGAATAGCTAAGAACTTGTTGCTGTTCTTCCTTCGTAACGGTTTGACATCTGTCTGATGTCCTTCCTGATGCATTTCATTTTTGTTTTCTTACAGAGATGGTGATAACAAAGAAAATTACCCGGACAATGCTGCAGTTTTAGAAGAAAGGCAGCTGCCTTTGCAAGACACCTTGCAGCAAAAGGAGCAAGCAGCAGTTGACTGCCCACTAAAACCTGCAATGGGCAACTTGAAGCTAAGGAAGCCTAAGCCCATTGCAAAGCTAGAAAATGGAAGAAGCCATGAGGAAAGTCAGGTAAAAAACTAAACTTACCAAGGGGAGGGTTTTGGCGGAGTCTGAGCAAAGATGCCTTTTAAAATGCAGAGTGGGGCTCCCTGGGAGTCCGTGATCTGACTGTGACCCCACAATAATCCACCCTAATTCCCAGGGACCTGCAGCCCTGGCCCCCTCCTGTAACGACAGACAGTTCCTTTCGGCCAGGGAGTTGCATGGAGGGGTGTGTTGGTTCGGCTGTCAGAAGGGAGTGCATATGTGAGAGCAGATGTGTAAATCCTTCTCTTCAGAGTTCCTGTGGCTGTTTGCACCAAATACACAGTCTTGGTAATTGTAGAACTTGATTAGATTTTTTCTGCTTTATTTTTTTTTTTTTTAATTTGACCAACAGAGGTTTTCTTGTGCTGGTGTTCTGGCTGCCTGTGGGACACGTTTCTCTTACTTTTCTCTTTTTCTCATCTTTAAATAATAAGCACATTCCAAAAGAGTTTGCTTTACTGATGTTTCCTAACAAATTAAGCATTGCTGGAAACGCTCTGTTTTCAGCATTGAGATCTCTCTTGGAGCCATTTTCATTGGAAAGGTGATTACTGTAGCTTTTTGGTGTGTGAGAACGGGCTCTTGAGGGGCAGGAGCGAAGATTGCCGTGAAACTGATCCTTTAACGCAGTGTTTAAAACATAGTGTTCCCTGAGCTGCCTCTACAAGCTGTGCAGCCTTTCACTTGATCTCTTTGTGACACAAAGGCTTCAGAAAATTAAGGTGACTTTGGTAGGCAATAATGGCATGCGCTTTTGCTTTTGGGCTGCTGGATGGCAGCTGCACTGACCTCATCCAAGAGTCAAAGATGCCCTTTCCATCGTAGCAGTTTATTAATTTTACCTTTAGAAGGGTTTCCTGGAGTGCTAGGTGAGTGTTGGTCTGCTGTTGCAATGACAGCAGTTACTGCTGGATTCTTTGGTGCCCTGGCAGTAACAACTGTGAGGAAAAAGCATAACATGCTGCCATTCTGCTTTGGCAGGATTTCACCTCTGCTTTCTGCAGTAGAAATGACTGACTGCAGGTAGGGCAAGGAAGTGGGGGATGAGACTCTTAAACGTCAGTTTACAGGCCGAGCAGCGGCCAGTCCCCCAGATCATTAGTCTGCGGTGCTCGTTAGGGCTGCCTCAGAAGGGTGTCAAGGGAGGGATGGCTTCAGCTTCAGCTGTCGCCCGATGCCCGCAAAGGCCAGCGACAAGCCCTCTGGGATGTCAGCAGCATCTGGTGCCGGTGCTCTGCCCACAGGCTTGAGCTGAGGGAAGCAGAACTTTAACTTCTCTGACGGCTATAAGAAAAGGCCTGAAATGAAGAAGCTTCTGCTGCTGAGTGCGGAGGTACTGCGCTGTGCAGGCTACAGAGTTACCAGCACCCGGCAGCTGCTGGCAGTGCCTTGCTCCCGCCCTGTGCTCCGCTGCTTCCTGAACTGTGTCTCACGTTCAGTGTAGGAGGGCGATTTGGTTTAGGTTTAAGTCCTGGGCCAAGACAGCTGACGTTTAACTTTTTGGTAGCTTGGCAGGCTGTAGCAGAGAGAAGGCCTGGGGAAACCTCTGTAGCGATGTCGTCTTTGTTTATGCGTAGGGTGGTTGGCTATTTGTTTTCTGACTCTCCTTACTCCTTATTTGTGGAAAGAAATTTGCAAAGCACTTTCTGAAGTGCTTTGCACCCTTCATGGATGAGAAGTGATTCTGGTCCGTTCTTTCAAATTTTGAATAGGAGTAGCTCGTTCTGGATGGCACATCTCACCTTTCAGAGTGAGGAGTATCTTTTCAGATCCTGGAAGAAAGCGTAAAAGCAGCTGACATCCCATTCTTTCAGAATATCAACATCAGCTCTTGCCCTAATCTTCTTGCAAGTTTTTGCTGGAGTTCATCCCTGAGATGATGCAATAAATGCTGATTTTGGTAATTATATTGCCCTAGTAGGAAGTATTGCGTAGAATACGGGGAGGTGAGGTGTGCGTGTATATCAGCAGCTAGGAAAAATTATAGGAAACGGCGCGCTATGAAGAGCAAGCGGAGGCATGTCAGGAGAAGGAGTCCTCAACAAGTCTTAAAGAAGGAGAGATTCATCTCACAGATGATCTTCAGCTACCTGTGCCACCTGTCTGTGCCTCCTCCCTCCGTATGCTGTGCGGGGGCCTCTTAATGGAGGCTAACACAGCACAGATTTGCTCTCTTCTGTAACATTTTATGCGGCCTGAAGAGGTTAACTGAAAATGCTGATTTTCTTTCATTGGAAACTTTCTGAGCCGTATAATTAGACTGCCATAAAATGCCAGTGCAATTCAAGCATGCAGTCTGTGGGAGCAAAAAGAAAAACAGGGTCAGGCAGATAATTTTCATATGGCTCCAGGGCTTGAATTAGGAAAGATAGAAGTGGTCCTGGGCCCCCCCACTAGCCATCACTCCCACTTCTAGCTTACTGGAAGAGATGAAATGTGTAGGCACTATTTTACCCTACCTTTGATTTGATAGGAGTACTTGAGTGAGCTTTGACAGTGCTGTAAAAGATGAACACAAAGCAAAACATCACTTCATAACGGGAACTCTGCTTATTCATAAAGGGTGTTGTATCCTAGTGCTGCAAAAGACTTTTCAAAGGATATCCTGTATCTACACGTAGTTCAGTGGTGCTTGCTGTAAGGGACAGAGTTTGCCTCTTGGAAGTTGGCAGAAGGAAGCTGTTGTGGAGAAAACGCATGCCCAGCCCTTCACTTCACATACCCTTCATTCACAGGAGTAATGATATGCATGTTCCTTGTCCCTGAAGTTCTTGCTTTGCTGTACCTTCAGGAACCTCAAGGGCTTTTTTCCTGAAGAAGCAGATATCTGGCGCAGGGCTTTGTTTAACGCGCCTATAACAAACAAGGCTCTGCTTGCAGAAGTGCTCTGCAAAAGGTTTGATTCTGTGGGAGGAAGGTTTGTTTCTGTCATTGAGCTCCTTGGCATGCTGTGTCCTTCAAGCCGCCCGGGTGGCTGTCTGCATTAGTAGCCCTAGTAGTGAGCTGCTTGCTTCTGTTTGTCTCCATTTTGAAGCTGAAAGTGAAATACTGCTCTGTTTCCAATAGTTGTTGATTATGCATATGGCAGGTTGTTATTATCTGGAATAGCTGGACTAATACTTTGAAACTCCATGCAGTGGCATATGCCTTGCCTTTTGTGAAGCCTGTTGCCACCAAGCCCCTCAGTGGGATAAATGGTGTGCTTAAAACCAGCTAATGAGGAGCTGACAAGCAGCAATGACTGGGTAAAAAGGCAAGTATGATATGCTGCAAATGGTGATTAAACTGCTCTTCCTCATTACCCTGATGTTATTGATGGAGCGCTTTTTCAATAGTCTCCTCCCCAGCCTGCGTTTGCTGTGGCATCAAAAAGAGACAGGGACGATACCTCTTTAACGGTTTTGCTCTGATAAACCGAGGAAATGCTCTCTCCTCCTGTGTGTTACAAGACCATGAGTTGCTCTTGTAGAAAACTGTCATTGTAAAATCAGAATAGGCTATTGGGAGGGGAATTACTGTGCTGCATGTGCTGGAAGGATCAAAGTCTGTTTGGATGGGAACCAATTTTATGTGCCTTTCTACTAGTGAAACTCCAGAGGACTTCCATAGCGGAGAGGTCACTGAGAGGGAACAGTCCTCAGTGCTCAAGTAGAGGAAAGGCAACCACCTTGGGGATCTTGACCTTCCTGAAGCCCTCAGTCTTCTGAAGTATGACGCCTGTGCCTCGGATGTTTTGGGCACGAGTGCAGTACTGTGGTTGCGTACCCCAGGTCTTGATCTAGAAAAGGCTATTGAGTTTACAGTGATGAGTAACAGGACCAAGTCTAATAAACTTACTTCACTTGGCCGCATATCAGCTGATAAAATGTCACCAGAGTAAAGCTTGTTCCTTGGATACTGCATGCAGTTATTTCTTGCTGTGCAGGAGCTCACTCCGGGGACAGCCATGTCCTCCCAAAGTATGGGGACAGAGGCAGGCTGCTAGGAAGTGATTGTGCCGCTATGCTCCATCTGTTTGGGTTCCTCTTTCCCCTGGTTTCATGAGCTTCCTTAGCAATTCTGCAGTGTTAATCTATCGAAAATCATGTTAATCAGGATTTATTGGCCTTCAAGAGGTGAGGAAGCATATGCTCAGAACATACTCTGGAGAGCCAGTGTGCGAACAGATGGTTTGGAGTGGAAAGACTGTTTTCCTTGCCTAATCCCTTCACTCACCTTTGTTGCGCAGCCATGTGAATTTAGATTATTCAATGTTTCATCCTCAGATTCTGTACTGATACTGAGATATGTTTATAAAATGACCCTAAACATGCTAGCTAATTGATAGAGCAAGTAGAAGTTAAGTTTTTAAAGTCTTAATTGCCAAAGTGAATGGATAAAAATTGAACGGTAGCTTGACATAGAAATCTAGAAATGGGAAAGCTGAAAGCTACTGTGTGAAATTTGTTATTTTAAATACAAACGAAGTGGGGAAAATTGCATTAATTCAAAAGAACTTCCAGTAATTTGATACTAAAATTCCAATTTTAAATATGCAGGAATCAGAAAATTAAGCCGAGGTTAAGGCATGAGCTACGCAAACACGCAAACGTGCCGGGTAGCCTGCAAGTTCCACGTCTGTTTTTAGGCAGACTCCATTTCTGTGTAAACCATACCTTTCCTTGTGAGTTAAATACATGCGTTCAATCCCATTCAGAGTACCTGTTTATTTTCTTGTATGGACTGGCGTTTCCAGAAGGGGCAGGAAACACTTCTGTTCAGGACGTCAAGTTGCCGCTGTTTTCTGTATTGATGTAGCACGTTGAGGAGTGCCTAAACGCTGGTGCGGTGTTCCCAGAGAGCAGGAGATCAAGCTCAGAAGCTCGTATTCAAAGAGAGCTGGCAGTGGCTGTGTGTTGGATAAGCCACATTTTGGATGCAAGGCACTTTCAGGTTCAACAGCGGATCGAGTTCAAGCTGCTGTGTAAACACAGCAAACGTGAATACAGCTGTACTCTTAATTCAAGCGCTCTGCCAGAGATGGGGTATGACATGCTGTGATTTTTTGAAGGAGAGATTTTAAAAAAAAGGTTGTGAAGGAGAAGCTGATTTATCTTAACATACACATGCGTGGTGGTGATTACACTCTTCTCAGCAAAGCCTGGAGATTTCCCTCTTCGCAGGCCACTTGCCAGATGCAGCCTAGTTGTAGAAGTCTTATCCCAGAGTGAAGGCAAAACAAGAATGTAACAGCAGGCAGCACTGTACTGCTGATTGCCCCTGACGCATGAGGAGTGGATTTCATTACTCTTAAGAAACGTAAGTCCCATCCGAGGGTGTTTTCTGAGGGATACTCTGTAACATCGTAATGACGTAACTCACTGACACACAAGCACACGCACCCACGCACACGGAGCAACCAAAAAGCCCCAAGTCCTCAAAAAAAACATCAAGCCTGCAGTTGAGCGAATATTACTACCTACATGCGTTTGGGTCTTCAGCTTTACCTTTCATCTAAAATAAAGCATCTTGAGTTGATGTGTTCTCTCTGCTGGTACCGGAGAGGGGTATTTGTTGCAAAAAACAGGACGAGGAAGAGGGAGGAGGCTTTCGCTGAAGCGTGTTCACCACTTCAACGGCAGTTTTGCATTTTTCACCTTAACTGGACTGACCTTGGAGCAATTAACTTAAATAGCGCAGCTGCTGGCGGGCCCCAGCCATAAGAAAGGCTTGCTTAACTCAAATGCCACTTGTTTCACTTCATTTGCAAAGCACCCACAGTTTTCATTTTTTTCTGTAACAATTTTTTTCCTTTTTTGTAACATTTTTTTCTGTTAACAGTAGTTGCAGTTAACAACCAGAAAACCTTACACATCTAGGCAAAAATGTTGAGGCTGGTGCAAGAGCTCTAGACCAGGTCTTCAACTGATTTAAGTAAATAGCTCTTGCCTCTTGTGATATTTATTGTGCCTTCAAACTCCGTATTGTCCTGTGAGGGCGTAAAAGGAGGTCGGATTTGTGTCCTGAGTAGGAATCTCGAGTAATGAGGCTGTACTCCTAGAAAAGTCAGCTCCTATGAGAAGCTCTCCAGTGTCCTGACCTCTTCCCTCTTTCCCCCCAGTCTGCCTTCCTGAGAGTTACAAATAAGGCAAACCCCCCGCCGCTTCAGTTGCCCAGGTTTTCCAGAGATCTGATCCATGCTGTTCCTATGCGTGTCTGTTATTTGATCTATTTAAGAAAGAGTATTTTCAGTATGGGAAATTGTAATCGTAATTCTTGTCTTTTGTCTTTTCTGGTGTCTATATAGAGTTTGGAGAATATAGCGTTTTTCTTTCTTGTTTCTGTCATGTGCAGGACCTAGCAAAGTGTAACCTAGTCCTTAGAAGTGAGATTCTAAGTGCTGTTGTCACCACACAAATGGGCAATATGCCTGTTCTGCCCACGGACCACCAGACCACTGAAGGTTTGTGAGGAAAGAAAATACGCTTGAACTGGTTCAGTCCGCTTCTACCTTGAGCTTTAATAAAAACTATTGTGTTGACCTGTTCAGTCCCCAAGAGCGCATGATCATTTTTATATACCAGGGGAAAAAAATACTGAGATAGTAATGGAAGAACTAGACAAGCTGGAAAAGAGTGCCAGTCATTGGTAACCTGAATTGTGATTACCATTTTTGGATAAAACGCCATCCATGTAACGCGAAACTGCAGACGTGGGAAGCGGGGGAAGGCTTCTACCTAGAAAGCTCTGAAGGAGGCAAAAGGTAAGAAAAGCAAGAGCAACTCTAGTCAGTTCAGTGACCATCACCAGGGGTTCATAGCACCTCATCTGAAAAGACGACAGCATCTGTTTTGGAAATCTGCCCCCATGGGAAGCAGGTGTGGCTGGAAAGCTCGGTTCGGCGACAGCAGCCAACACCGAAGCAAGCTGCATCGGTTCAGTTGGCTTTACCTGGCAGGGGAGTTACTTCCAGCCCCAGGGCAGGTCCACGCACCTACACGCAGTACGGACATACCCCGCGGCTGGTCGTGTTTGTCAGAGTCAGCACATAGCCACTTCCTTCTAAGAGCCTGACACCGCGATGGTCACAGCTCCCTCTTTCTGCGGCGAGATTTAAACACTTTTATTGCACTCATCTTAAGGACTAAGTGGGAGGAATTCACTTTCCCCGTATCCAAAGAGCATCCTAGCACTTCAAAAGAGGACTGAGATTAGAATAAGATAGAGTATTGTTAAACTGTGAGGAAGTAAAATGTCAGTGTTCATACTTTTTCTTTATTTTTACCAGGCTTTTTTTTTTTTTTACAAGATCCCTTTGTGCTTTTAACGTTAAATTTCAGAAGCAGCCACTGAATGTTTCCTCTGAGAGGAGACCGTTTAGGCCACTTTTTTAAATTTTACAACTTGTTATAATGTTTACAGTTTTATGAACGTGTAACTTACTTGTGTTTTAAATGCAGTGTATCTTTAAGCAGGCTTCATTTATAATCTGTGAAGATGAAACAGACTCAGAAGGAAGTGAAAAGCAGCCACTGTTTCTCTTAATGTAGAATGACCTCAGCCCTCCAAGTTCTTGTTCAAGCTTTTTTTTTTTTTTTTTTTTTTTTTTGGACTAAGCTTTGAAATAGGATCAAAATCAAATGCGCTGTTTTACCATCGGAAGTGGACGCTAGTGCTTTGCAAAACATACCATATCTTAATTTTGTGAGCTGTTACAAAGAAACTGGATGATAAAAGTTACGAAGAAGAAAAAAGCTGCACTGTAATGATCATGTTTTCAGACAACTTTATTAACTTACCCCTTGGCAAGAGAAGGGAAATAATGCAACCCATTTTATACTTAAGGAAAAAAAGATGTGCTGAAGAACTTTCCACAGCCCGTACAACTGTTTTTTGAGAGCTTGGCGTAAAACGCCTACCTAATTCCTAGTTCTGGCGTCAATTTGTTGGACTGAACTGGCTTCTTTATTTTTAGTGTGGCAAGGTGGCTGGTATGACTTTTTTTTTCTTGCTGACCTTTACTCCTCTCGCAGCAATACTCTCTTCATAGAGCTATTCATAAACTGGGAAAGGGCAAAAGCAAACTGGTTAAACCTTACTGATCTTTCTTACGTGACCTGAATTTGCTTGTGAGCCAGTTTTGTATTATGATGCCCAAGCTTACTGACATAAGAATAAGTAATTCTGAAATGTGAGTGCATATATAAGCAAAAATACTGAACCCTTGTGTGTAGCACTTCCTAGCTCAGATGCCGACTTCTGGTATGTAACTGATCAATAGAAAATGGGTTACAGTGGCTTCTTGTCTGCTCTGCTTTCAGAAGGTGTTTTACAAGGAAGATACTGCTTTGTTCAGAACCTTTTCAAGTTAGTGCTTTCCGATTGTTGCCAGATTATTACCAAGATACAGCTACAGAGCATTTGTGAACCCCACAAAGCAGCTTTCAGTTTCACAGAGCTCTGATTTCCTTAAAGCAAAGTGTTCAACTCAGCCCGATCACTACCGACCGGGCACTCAACGTTTCTGTTGCTTTCTGCAGGAGCTGGAGAACGTATTGCCTGGCCTCTCAGCCTGGCAGGGGACAGCAGGAGCCTCCGCTAATGCCTGTGCCCAGAATACGCCTTTCAGATGCCAGGAAACAGTCCGGAGGTTTCTGCCAAGGTAAGCTGTGGGATAAGACAGTGCATTTCACTTCTCATTAACTGTAGGAAAGGCTAATTCATTTGCTGCCTTTTATATAAAATATTCAGACTCGTGGCTCTCACTTGCAACTGCCTTCTTCATTGATAACGGCTAGAGCTGTTTGGAGAAAGCAGAAAGGATGATGTTAAGAAGGCACGTTTTATCCTTTTTTAACCTCCTTTCAGTTCAACCCCCCCCCCCCCCCCCCCCCCCCCGGTGCTGACTTGCCTCACTCTTTCTCAGAGTGTATTCCTACTGAGAAATGGGAATGGCAATCTGCACGCCCGATTTTAGCATCAGCATGCATTTCCGTACTAATCCCTGGACACTGTGGAACTGGGCTCGTTCCAGTGCTGCGAAGGATGCAGGAAGCTCGGGTCGGGTATGAGCCAAGTTTTGATTGCAGGTAATTCCGCAAACCATGAAGTAATTCACCTCTGATAACTATTGGGAGTCATGGTTTTCTTCCCGATCTTTCCCTGCTGTGCAACAGGCTAGAAATGGGACTTTGACCTTCCCCCCCCCCCAGCCTTTCCCATAGCCCAACCTACTTGTGAGGGCCTGTCCTAAGAAGATGATTTGGCTCTTACAAACAGGACTGGACTGTGCAAATACGATTATGCTCTTTCGAGTCGTCTCTTCTGGGGGCATTGTTTTACATACGTCCCATACTCAGGTAATAGTTCAGCTCTGCTTTGCTGTGTGCGTAGTGTTTAAGGCAGGTGAGCGCAGGACTTTGGTATCTTTCCTTTATTTTCTGTCTGAAGGTGCGTGATAGCTTAGGTGCTTTTAGTGCCTCCACTGCAGTGTGGTAGAGGCTCTGGGCACCCTGAAGTGATAACTGGTGTCCTTCACTCGTACAGTCAAGTTCCCAGCCCTGCGTTGTTCAGCCTTCACTCTGCGCGTGTTTGTAGTAAAGCCTTATCTAAGGGCGATTCTTTGTGCTGCGTGACGTGCGGTGGCAAGGCAGACGGGGAAAAAAAATGGCTTTGCTTGGAGAGGCTGGACATCCTGGGGGCGCTCAGTGGTCGGGGCACAGCTAGGAGAAATACAGAGCTCTCTGCCTCCGAGGCATGTTTCCAGTCAGGACTAGGTCAGCAGTGGGAGAAACGAAGCAGTTGCCTGAGCCACAGCTTTTAGTAGGCAACATTGCAAGCAATATTAATTCATGCTCTCAAAGGCAGGTTTAGCAGAATGACCAAGCATTTAATTAGCTTGCAAAAAGAACTGTTTTCACTCTCCGATGCTTGTATCTGCAGTTGAAACATGGCGAAGTCCTACCCTGCAGAAAGTGTTTCTCATTAGCCCCATCCCAGGAATCCTGCCTCATGGAAAAATCACATAGGTTTGTTTTAGGAAGGAGAGTAGAGAGTTCGGTCTCAGAGACTTGGACGCAGCTAGCATCTCTGTCTCTGTTTGGACAGATAATGAAATAACGTTGGTTAACTTTGTGATTCCTGAAAGAAACATAATGACAGAAATATGATCTTGGAAGAGAAGAGCTAGAGTTACAGTGTACATCAGTAAAGCAGCAACCAGAATGAAGTTCCCCTGTCCACTTCGACATTTAGCCTTTTTAGGTCAGGAGGTTTTAAGCCATGGTTCACTATGCCATTTATTCCTGTTTAACACCAGGGTATCTCCTTAGGAGCTATGTTTTCTACAAGTGTTAAAGCACTTCAATATTCGCGCCTAGATTTATCGTGCTAATAGCTGCAAAAGCACGGCGATCACCTCCCAACTCTTGACGTGTCTTGGTTTGATTATATTGCAACAAAACTGAGGCCATTTTACTCCCAAATGGAAAACCTCAAACCGGGAACAAACACACGTTAGCTGATGGTCCCGGCCTCACACGCAGAGGTGCCAATCACAGGCTGGTGTGTCAGGAGCCCAGAGCTGATGGCGTGCAGCAGACTGCCAACTGCAGCTGCCTGGGTACAACGTCTTGCCTTGTTTTCTGCCTTCCCCACTCTGGGACATGGCAAAGGTTAAGTATTCAGGCTTGGCAGCAGGCAGCTGTCACAGCTAGATTCGCTTTCTTCTACTCTGCCTTTGCTAGGTTACTGGTAAAATTAACAAGTGCTTTGGAAAACTGCAGCTTCCTAGCATCCCTGACTCATAGACCAAAGGCTTTGTGTTTTGGGGAAGGGGACATGAGCACTGCTGCTGCAGGAGTGTGACTGCACAAGCTCCGCTCGTGGGTGGGAAGGGCAGGAGAAGAAGGGTTCATTTCTGCCCCATACTGTGTTAGGTGCAAGGTTGGTGGTTTCCTGTGCGGTTGGTTGTTCATTCTGCTATGATTTGGTTTCTTCAGACTGCTGTAGCCCTGTCATTCGTCTCGTTGAAGTTTAAAGCTCTAAACACCTCTGAGCTGTACGGAATTTATCTTGAAGTCTGTTCTAGTCAGCGTGGTGCCACTAAAAACAGGGCAAAGTTAATTTGTCTAAATATGGATTAAAAACTACTCAGCTATGAAAAGCTTTTGGATGCAGTCCCTGTTCAGCAGAGCAATCTAGATTCCGGATGACGTAACAAGGGAGGTTCGTACACGGTTATGTGGCAGGGAAAAGCAGAACAGGCAGTCCGAGAGAAACATCCCACAGAGCTAGTACTTGCAAGTACATGTGTTGATTGTTCTGTGGGGTGGGTGGGTGGGTTGGTTGTTTTTTTTTTTTTTTTACTTCAGTCCTTTCATTTGCCAATTACACCACGACTTACTAGTGCAACAGTGAAGGAAAAGTTTAGTGGGATCTGAGGGAAAACGGGCGGGTAAGCTCGGTGAAGAAGTTTAAGGGTAACTATATACTGCGTTTGGAGCAGTCAGGAAAAAGGGAGAATTTATCTTACTCTTGGCTAAGCTGTATCTGCCCTGTGAATGAAGGACTTCAGTTTTAAGAGGAGTTTATCATATAGCATGATTTAGGAACCTCCGCATCAATTTAGGATATCAAATGCCATCTGCACAGAAGGAAACCTTTACATTTTATGAAGAGAACAGGGATTTCTAATGCTGTATTTAGTGACTACAGCGAATGCTGCTGAGGTCATTGTGCGTAGCTGGGTATGGATAAGAGTGCATCTGTACCGTTGGGAGATAAAACTTATAAGCAGGCCCAAGGAACAAACACTGGAATATAGACAATTGCCTTTTATGACAGAGAGACTAGGAAAATTAGTATGTAATGGCAGGCATGATTAGAAAAACCTGTTCTTACTGATTCACTCTTTAATGATTTAATGATTTTTTTCACTGATTCAGTAAGCAAAACTGACCTGGATTGCAGAGCCGTGTACTCAGTTTCCTGAGCAAAGGGTGATATTTTCTTCACATGCCTGTTTCAGAGAGAGCTGGATGAAATGTGGAGCTCCCAGGCTGTGGGAATGTTGTGTTTCAGAAAAATTTGCATTCCATGTCAGTGTGGGAACTATACTTTTCTTTAAAGTTTTCTGCTAAAGAACAGTTCCTGAAAGTTCCCCCTCTTCCCCATTCTCCAAAGAAAACAGAAGTGGAAGGGCTTCCTTCAGTAGGACCCAGCTAGCCCCTCGGCTCATCCCTAATTTCTGCTGAGCCCAGAGGGCGGCTGCTGCTGCTGCTGCCGGACCTGTGACCGTTTCCCAGAAAAGCTGGAAATGCCGAGAGCCCTGGGCTGCCTTGAGCCAACGTCTCAGCCAGGGTCTCCCGGGGTTTCTGTGCTCACCGGTGAGATACTGAGCTCCAGCGAGGGTTTGGTGTCTTAAGTTTGCAAAGCAAGTAGCTTTTAAAAGTGCAGTGCTGGTGGGGACTCTCGCAGTTTCCACACTTCGTGCTGAGCAGCTACAACTCGGTGATGCGTGGGAGGGAGCAGGGGCGCAGCAGAAGTGCCGCTGTCCCTGTGCCATATGGCAGAGCTGCGCAGTGAGGCAGTACCGGGGAGCCTGCAGTCCTGCGCGGGCTGCCGGGCGAGAGCGGGGAGGAAACCTGGCCTGATTCCCTCCCGAGTCTTGCCTCAGACCTGGCAAAATTCATCGAGACCAGTGCGTGTCTGCAAATAGCTCTGTGTCAGCACGCTCATCAGGATTTGCTGATGAAAGACTGCTTTGCTGGGAAACGATTGGCCGGCTCTAACTATAGTTTCTTCAAGGATCTTGGTATTAAAATATTGGTGTTTATGGTTCCACAGATACTTCCTCTATTAAAGAACGGAAAATCCCTGAGCAAGCTCCTGGGTTGCCATACCCTTTAAAAAGCAGGGGGGCAAAAAAAAGCGTCTTACTCTAGCCCAAGTTAGGGCTCTTCCTTCTGAGTACAAAAGAGGCACTCAGGATATGAAGGAGGAGTGTGGCGGTACACAGCCAGCCTTTATGTAAACTGCTGTAATTTATGAGACAGGCACTGCTACACTAGCTCTCTGGTTGTCTGCTTATTCCAGCTTTTAGGGACTGCCAAGGAATAGCCTGGGAAGTGTCCAAGCAGCGTTGGGCTCTTCAGGGTGTTACTTTTTTAATGGGAAGTGCGCGCCTTATGTTAATCCAAAAGGCTGTTGCGGTTCTGTTTCGCTTTTTAAGCGTTCACAAGCATGATTTTTAACCGTTCACTTGTAGCCCTGTAATAAGGTGGTGGCTGTGTCTGAATTTCATAGTTTTTTTTTTTTTTTGGTTTGTTGGTACAGATGTCAGAAAGGATGCTTTTGTTTCCCTGACGCTGATGTGTATTGGGTGTGAGGTTGGTCTTCCTACAGAATCGCATGATGTAACCTGTAGAGAGATGGAACGAGTGCTCTGCTGTGGTGAGACTGCAGTTGAGGCTGCCCTCTCTGAGCTGTTAGGCCAGTGTGCCATCCTCACAGGGGCAAGGATAGAACTGGCGGCTAGACCGGAGATGGAGACATTTTTCATTGGGTTAAACTGAAATTGAATCTGGAAAAGGGATTTCATCCCACATCGTAGTGTGTGGTTTGCTTACCAGGAGTTATCTTGGTATTTCTAATGCGTTACTTGGCCCTAGACATCGAGCGTGCATGGCATTGAGGTACATAGGCAAGTAAGTCTCCTGAGGACCAGGTTAGTTTAATCCAGAGTTTGACTGGTTGAATGTACAAGAATCCCGTTCTAATCTAAGAGTCGGAATTGAAAGAACTGTGAAGGCTTAAGATCTGCAAATTATAGAATCTAGTGCTTCCCTCCTGGTTTAGGCGTGGAAGAGGATTTGCTTAGGTCATCTTTAAACGTTTTTTCTTAGTTTTTAAAATTATGTGATTTTATGTGAATTTTATGTGTGTTTAGAAGTGGTGGTATGCATAATTCAATAATTCACATGTAATTGTGGCTTTTAAACAGCTCACTGCTCATACAAATTGATCCTCCCCTTGAAGTTGCGTTGGAGCTCTTATGATAATTAGTATTTAGATTTTTTTTTTGTATGTCCACAAGCTTCAAATATATATGTTATTGAACTGTTATCTTGGTCATCTGTGCCACAGCACAACAGGAGAGGTCTGCCAAAGCCAGAGCAGCCACGTTCCAGGGAGGGTGAGAGATCAGGCCTTTCGTACTTCATATGGAAGGTATTTGAAGAGTAGCAATAAGAGAGTATTACCGTTTTCATTATTTTACATAACGTAAATTATACAAAAGGAAGGGTTGCCTGCACTTAAAATAATTTAATGTACTCGGCACAGATGGAAAATTAGGGCTTGTTCCTGCTGCCTTTGAAGTTAATGGATATTTTGTGATTGACTCTTAACAAGAGTAGGATCCAACCCGTAGTTATTAAATGGTAAGTCCTTTGTTGCCTAGCTACAGTCCGATAACCTGAATTTGTCTAGCAGAGCAGTTAATCTTGGCTAAAAAAGAGCACACCCCAAAACTCTATGAAGTAGATTCAGCTCAGCATGCGTATATGACTTGTTAGCGTAAGTGGTCTTCACAGACAAAAAACCAAAAAACTGTTTGTCACTGCAATGACTTAAGAAAACATCTAGTATCACCGAAATACAAATAATGCAGAACTAAAATCATTGCACTCCAGTATTTGTTAGTAAAACAGAAATGATAAAATGCAAGACGCACGCATTCCTAAAAGAGCGGCCAATGATACCAGCTTGAATGAAAGAGAGGCGGTACTTTAGGGCTGCTGTAAACTTTTTACTGTCCAGAGTTTAAGGAAAGTGCCAGACTCCTGAGTGGTATAGCTGTGAAGCGTGTAGAACATCTCTCACAGTGCCTGCAAAAACGCTGTAACAGTCCTCCACAGCATCGCTTACCAAGCTGCTCGTCGTCTTTCCTTTTTATTGTTTTCTTTTGTTAAGGTAGGTTCACATTTTCTGTGCGTTAAGCACTACGAAAGGACTGATGTCATCCAAATGAGTACAGGACAAGTACAAATCTGGCAAATTTCTTTTCCTTTCAGTTATGTCTAGTTCTAGTTCAACACAATAAATCACTCTAGATATTTTTTCCTGTGATAGTGAATTCAATCTTCAGCTTTTTGTAGCTTTGCAGGGCTGCCCTAACGTGTTATTAAACCGAAGGTAACTATATTACTCTTTACTATAAAATTAGTCCTTTTGCTCTGACCCTACTTCCTCTGTTTTCTTTAACTCTCTCCTGCTGGCTCGTAGGCCTGTCCTCCCTGCTGCCTAGAGCCTGGTTTTTAGGTGTACACCTCTTTGCATTTTGCTGTTTCTTCTTCTTCTGTTTTCTTCACGATATAGAGACATTTCTTACTCATTTTCAGGAGAGAAGGCAGAAGCAAATATATATGTGGAAAGCTGTATAGAAGTAGATAGCTGCTTGTACAGTACCCTGGCAAGGCGTCTTGCTGCCCAAGTTCACCCAGAAATCACTCCTGATCATGCCTCTGTGTGTCAAGTTACATGTGGGTTGGCTCGCTGTGGAGAGCTCCTGCTCTGGCACTAGGTGTTCCGCCACCAAAACGACTCATTTGCGTTCCTGCATGAATTGCGTACGTCGGATCCTTTTTTTGAGGGCAAGCAGGTGTTCACCCTGCAGTAGCTGTCTGGTGCATCTATTTTGGTAAGGAAAGTTCTTATGGCATGTCCATCATTTCAGTCTTCGAATGCCTCATAATTGTATTAAGAAGAACATCAGAGGTCCCTGGATCTGTCTGTACTGTCTTTGCATTCTCTAGAGGCTTTTAAAACGGACTGATTTTGCTGGGGTTACTCTGAGCAGACTAGGTTGAAAAACGGGAATTCTTTCATCCAAAAGAATCTGTTTTGTGTTGATTTTGATCACGTCCGTGGGTGAGCCTGACACTGGCCAGTCCTGAGCAAATAGCGCCAGCCTCGCAGCAATGCGAAATCACATTCTCTGAGATAGCGGCAGTTTTCTTGCTTCAGCCGAAGGCTGCTGTTGTGAGGCGACTCATGATATACCCGTGTATGGCTTTGGATTTAAGCTTGGAAAGCTTGTGTTTGCCTTGGGGAAGCTAGGGAAAGGACAGAGCTGTGGTACGAGGCTTTGCAGGTTGCTGACCTAATCCACGTGAGGTTATTTTTAGGCTTCAGTTTCATTCCTTGGTGGAATGCGTTTGCAGTAACTAACCCTGGAGCTCGTGGAGCCCTAGGCCATGATGGCATCTGCCCAGATGGGGAACAGTCATTTCCTAGCCGTAGTCAGCAGGAAGAGAGGTATTCCTCTCACCGCTCCAGGACCATCCTCGTGTTTTCATGCAGAGAACCACTGTGGCATGGAGGGAAAAGCAAAGCTGTTGACCTCTCCGATGGCTGCAGAGTGAAAACACTTAGTAGAAAACTTACTTAGTAGAAAACGTGGAACTGTCTCTTACTCCCTCAAAGGATTTCCAGCTCCTCGTGAGAGTGCTTGGGGACTTTGTGAGTTCCATGTCTGTATAGCTGCTGGTGCTACTTAGACGTGCTGCTCTTGGCCATTGCTTTGAAGGGGAGGGGTAGATAGAAAAGTGCATGTCGCGGTAGCACGGGTGACCCCATCAGAAACTTGTGTATGTAACTTCCCAAAAATGTGGGGTGGGATGAAGGAGGAAAATGCAGTCCTGGGGATTCTACAGGTAAATGACCCCTGACAGTAAATCTGCAGAAGTGAAGTTAAGCAGAAAGTTGAAGATTGGGAGCCTAAAGCATTGTTAAGTTCAAACACGGAAAGGTTTCTTTATATGGCTGTAATACAGGAAAACTCTTGTTCCCGCCTTAAAGTATGGGGGACAAACCGTGCTTACGTTTTACATGTGTTTGAGCTTTTTCTTGGCTTTAGCCTTATTCGTTCATGATACTGAGAGCCCCTCCTGCTCCTGCGGAACTCATTTCTTATTTATACGTGCCACAGAGTGATCCTGGATTTTGATGTCATCGTTTCCAGGATTTCACTCACAGTTTAGATGTATGACGAAGAAATCTAGTAAAATGACTATTACTTTGCCTGAAATATAAAATACAGAAATAATTTTCATAGGAATGTTATTTTTGGAATAAAATACTTTTATCACATAACTTGTAGTTTATGTGCAGAGACAGTGAAAAGTTTGGAATATTTGCAGCACAAATGAATGATTTGTTGAGTGAAAAATCTTGTTTTATTTTGCAGAATAGATCAGAGCTCGTGCATTTCAGCAAAAGAAGCAACTGAGCAACTACACAGCAAAAACGAGGTAAGCTTAACCAAAACTTGAAATACAGTGTTACAAATTTCGAATTAGATGCTTTTGTTTAGTCCTCAGCTCTTGGAGTAATATAATCTCATGAGAATCTTAGGTTAGCTTTTTAATGAGTAATTCTAGTCATATTTTTGGAGAAAAGCTTAAAAACGTGATATGAGAGTGCTACAATGGTTAAAAAGCCAGAAGCAAGGGATTTTAGAAATATTTCGAGCCGGCTTCATGCTGCTTTTTATTTGTGCTCAGAAAAGAATTCAGCATTCGGTACTGACTGAGTGAAATGACATCTTGCAATAACATTTCATTGGGTTCCTCCTGTTACAGCTCACATATATCCAGCTATCAAATACGTTATGCTGAAAAATAAGGCGATCTCAGGGTTGTTGCATCCAGCATGTAAATAAGCTGAGAACGGTACAAGGTAGTCTAAAAGGTACTCTTGTTGTAAGGCAGGAGGAGTGGAGGGTTGCAGTGAAAGGAGAAAGCAAGGAAAGGCAAATGACACCTGTGGCAGTCGGAACGAGCGGATTTCACAGGGGTTACGGCAGCCGCGTGGTGGGAGCGCGCAGCGCAAAGGGGCTGTGTGTGACCGTGTCGAACGGTGGATGAGCCTGGGCTAGACAGAGGCAGTGAAGGCGGTATACTGGAGGCCAAAACGAGCGGTGCAGCCTTATAAAGGATCTTCTGCAAACACGGCTGTCTGTGTACTGGTGTAAAGGCCTTTTGCATTCTGCAAGGGCGGTGAACGTGCTGGGACTTGACTGAGGAGCAGACAGTATTTTTAAGTGTAGACTAAGACAGCAGAACTACAGAAGCAAAAAAAGGAGGGGCTGGGGGAAGGGAAGCCTAATCCTGTCAAACTGTGGAAAATACAGCTTTGTTTCCATAACGAGCCAGAGAACATGTATGTCTATTAATAGATGTCTGACTTTCAGTAGGCGAAAGCCACAATGCGTCCTTTTAAAGGAATCTAGACTTCATCTGATACTTACGATGAGTTATTTCCTGCACGTTTGTGTCATTGTTGCTTAGTGCACTCTTAAAAATCACAATACTAAATAGCAGAGCGCTTTCCGTGGCCAGTGTAGCGGGGATGTGCTCAGTCCTGGTCTAGCCGACTAAGGCCGTGGGAGAAATCATTAAATTATCATTTCCTCTGAGAAGCCCCATTGCAGGTATCACCAAAGCTTCTACGCTTACAAGGTTTAAAATGCTTGCAAATCATTTCTTAAAGGTCAAGATAAAATATTAAAGTAAATGAAAACAATATAAGATATTAAAATAGATAATTAAATCAGAAATTAAATCGCCCATCAGTCATGGGGAATGAGCAAGAGCAAACCTTCTGATGCTAAATTTTTTTTTGTAAAAGCTTAGATTATATTGTGTTTCAGGACTACTGCAAACCCCCATTGGCATATTATCCCAAGACAATAAATTCCCTTCTTGGATTAGATCAAGTAGTGCGTGTCTCATCACTGCTCGCTGGTGGCACTACACAAACTCCGCGCATATCTTCTTCTCTCTTACTGTTGCTTGTTTGTTCCCTGTAAAGGAAGTTCTGAACTGAAAATGTCTCGTGCCTCAAGACACAAACGTTGCCAAAACAGACGCCACAGAGATTTATTTACCATCACATAAAATAAGTCCATCTTATTTTTAACCTGAATTCTGAGATTAAAAAGCAAGGGAGATGCTTTTGTTTGTTACTGCTCTAATACTGCTTTTAATTTCGTCATGGTGAAGAACCTGTACAGGTTGATATTTACTCAATTTCTTTCCTATAGGAAGTACTTGAAAGACCATTAAATACTGAAAGCTCGGATTTTTCTGCTTCTCTGCCCCAGGTGATTTCACAAATCCGGGAGGCCCGTCTGTAAAGCAGAAATGATCAGATGGCTGCCTTCCTGGACTGGGGTTGTGTTGGGGGGCAGGAGCAGGCCTGAGGGCGGGGTGCAGCCACCCTGGAAATTCGGGAACGCCGTGCGTGTGGTGGGGTGGCTGCAGCTGCCCTCATGCAGAAAGCCCCAAGCATGGGTTTTTCTTCCCTTCTGCTCTCTGCTGCCTCCCGACTGGCACCAGACGATGCCCAGGCAAGGGGCAAACCTCTTCCCTTTCCCTCTCTCCTCAGTTTTCAAATTTACCAGATCTTCAGATATCCGAGAGGCTCAAACAAATGATACTGAGGTGCTTTCTCAAGGAAAGTAAGTTATTTATAACGGCAGTGGCTCTCTTTTCACCCTTGTTAGCTCTGTGCTGTCCCTGCCGGTTTGCTACGAGCGCTGACTGCCCCGGGGCTCAGGGCCGCAAGCGGCTGGCGTGCCGCCTGGTGCGGTGTCTCCTCCGCGCTGCAGCTCCCGGCCTTGCTGACCGGTAGGGCTCGTGGCGCTGATCCTGTGGGGCTGCTCACAGCACCCCAGCTGGTGAGGCAGTTACCCCTATCGGCCACTGGAAGAAAGTTGCTGAGTTATTTTGGGGGACTGCCACTCGTTGCCACAGCATTTTGGCTATAAATGAGGAGTATTGGTTCATTCAGTGTCAGTTTGCAGAGGGATTTGGCAGGCTGAGTGCAGCTGTGTGGTATTCATCTCTAGACAGTAAGAGGTTACCTAGCGTCTCAATAACGCCATGGCCCAAGGCCTGAACTCTTGGTTTTCAATAATTACTTATTGGAAAGAAGAGATAGTCAGTGGGGTACAAGCTTATTGGTTTGTAAAGATGGTTTCTTTCCTACGGGCTAAGCTGTCTCTGCAAATGGCAATCCATTGCGTGTTCTCCGGCAGGCAAGAGTATTGTTCTTTAATGTCTGTGTTTTTTAAAAGCTGCAGCCAAAATTAAAAATAGGAAATGCCACACCCACCTGTTTTTAAATTTTCCTCAGACTTCTTAGAAATGTCTTTATTTTTCCATTATCTGTGATGTGGATTAATGCAGGATTGTTTTTTTTTTTTTTCTTTTTCTAATGGCTGTGGGAATAGCCCGAGCTCTTTGAATTGTCAGTAACTTCAAGAGGACACCAAAGATCTGAAAAACCCTTGTCCAAGACCACCAAATTTCTTTTTTGTTTCTTTTTAAAACTTGCAAAACACTGTTCTCGAGAGGTGACGATATGGCTTTTTTTCCAAAGATACTTCAAGATCTATCTTTATTCAGGTACTCTTAGGCCAAATCTTATTTTAACTCCAAGTGAGTTAAAAAATATGGAATTACATGTGTCCTTTCGAGAAGTGTACTGCTTTCATTTATCGGGTCTGATTCTGCTTTTATTTGTGTTAGCATGAATCAGGGATTATTGTATCAGAATCAGTGGTGTTAGGCACCAGAGTGAAGGTGGAATGAGCATCAAATCTGAATTATGAGAGATGAGATCATTAGCTGATATAATATGCCATAGCGTAAATTACTTGAGTGATACTGATTTTCCATGTGAGAGCTTATCAAAAGTTTTGATGGTACCCATCATAGCCTAACATTTTCCTCACCCTTGATGTGTTTTTGCTTTTTGTATTTGCTTCTCATGTGTTCTTCTAAGTGGCCAAGAGCAGAGATGGCCAGGTCCAGAGGCCGAGTCTGGGCCATGAGAGTGTTTAACGTAGCACAGCTGGTGCATTTGGCTGGTTCATCCCTCTATTAGGTGTCCTGCTGAGTGTGCGCAGCGCCGGGGAGCGCCCCGAGCCCCAGCGCTGGGCTGCCCGCTCCCTTTGCGCCCGCTGGGGCAGCTGGCGGGACCCGGCGTCTGCCCAGCTGCCCTGGCACCACAGTTGGCTGCAAGCAAGCGCCTCCGCACAGGGCGCACGGCGGGGAGCAGCGTTGCCTCTGCCTTTCACCAGGACGCTCCTGCTTCCTGTGAGCCTCTAACCCTGTGTGCTAGTAGGCCTCTGCTTAATGCTATGTCTGCTTACATGTGTTCCCATAGAAACGCCTGTGGTAGATTTTTACTTACCGTGCGCTGTTGCAGTATCATAGTACTCAGCTGTATTTTTGGAATAAGATGAGGTTGATGGCATCCTCGAGACTCATCATCTCCCTGGTGACATCAAAATGATCAAAGTTACATATTCTTTTTCTCCCTACGTCAAATCACTGTCAAAGACACATTGACAAAATTATATAATGTTGTTCTATTATTATTATTATTATTATTATATGAATTTTTTTAGAGTTTGGTACTGACTGGAAATTTGCCATCCACCCACCTTTCACAGATGGGTGAAAAATATCAGTTAAAGCAACTGAATATAAACCAGCTGATGTTTAACAGTGTAGTCTGAGTGAATGCTTTTATATTCAGCTTACCACAAATATTAATGTGTCATGAAAAAACAGTGATGCAAAGGGAGTGTTTTCTTGAAATGAGAATTTTTTGTCCGTTTTTTTAAAGACAGTTTTTTGTCTTAGCAGAAGTAACAGGCTATGAAGGTTAGTTGCTTTTGTCAGTTATTCACCTGTGTTCTCCTTGCCAGTAGGAGGAGACGTAGGGACTCCCTTGCAAACTGTAGAAATGCATTTGCCACCAGCAGTTCTCATGGCACGTTCCGTGCTGGGATCAGAGTCCTCACTAGCCCGTAACTTCATACAGTCATCTTTCACTAGGTGACGTTAGCGACTGTAAACACTGCCATTAGGTTACGACAGTTCCACAGCAACGTTGGGTCTAGCTGAGATGTGAGACAGTAGTAAATTAGGCCTGTCATATCTTGAAAACTCCTCCCAAAGGAATATCATGGGTGCCCCTTTAAGCCAGTACGCTCTAGCCGACTAGCAATGGAAAAGTCGCTGCATCCTGAAAGCTGTGGAAGATGAGATGGTTTCCATCAGTCTATCTCTAATCTGAGTAAGTCCTGTAGAAGAACTGCTTCTTCCGGAAACAAAGAACAAGCAAGAACAGTTTGTTGGTTTTGGCGTAGGCTGACGAGAATTAAGTAGAGGATTAAATGAGACTTTGAGAGTACCTTGTAAAAGATGTGCAAGCTGATAGTAAAAAGTCCAGTCAATGCATCAAAAGCAGGATGCCAGGTAGGGTATCACTGGGACCGCTGGCTGGCTGAAGTGTAAAAGGGACGCTCAGGTGATAACGCTGTAAACAGAGAGGCTCAATGAATTCATCGTATTGGTCTTTACTGATACAGGCCATGTGGGAGAAATTTCCACACCTGATGCACTCCGTGTAGCAGATAGGCCAAAGGAGCAGCTAGATCAGTTTGAAGTAAATGTACGTAAAATTTTAGACCAAGCAGACAAATTATACGTTAGTAAGTCACAGACTAGATGCCAGTCACCCAAAAGTCTTGCAGAAGAAACTGAGATGTGAAGCTGAGGAACTGCTGGCCAAGTTAGGTGAACTATCCTTATAAATTGCTTTTGGGCCAGAGGGCGGTAGGTTGCCAGCGTAACCTACAGACCAGTGTACAGGTCTGTATTTAAACAGATCCATTTATCTTAGTATCCTGAGGAGTGCAGAGAGAAATCATGAAGGTGTATAAACACAAATCACTGGCAGGCCACAAATACCGGGTTTAAAACAACCGCTTGAAATACTTGTGTCAGTCTACTTGCCACTGGCAAGGAGCTCTGCTAGACAGGGTAGAGATGCAATGTTCTACTGGATACTTAATCATGACGGGAATAGTAAAAGTGTCTTCTGCCTCAGATCATAGAAACCAGCTCTATGTCATACCGTATTTTTAAAGAATAATATTCCATGCAGGCGCTTAATTTCGGTCAGTGCTCAATCTTGCAGTCACTTCTTTCCTGGTATTATGGTTATGGATAAGATATCAAGATACATCTTGACAAAAGATGAGAGGAACTTAATTCTGAAATAAATGTATAACGCCCAAGCCGTTTGTTTGCTTACACATCTCTAATATTAAGCTACTTCTGATAGGAAGGGCCTGGAGCCCGGCTCGCGCTCGGACCAGGAGGAGGAAGGCGTTCCCAGACGTCCTTTTTGAACGTAGGCTTAGGCTAGAGCCCACGTGTTCAGCTGTAGTCTAAACTGCTTTGTGGAGGTAAATACGGGTTTTGCAGCGCTTCTGACAGCACAGAGTACCTAGAGGGTTACAAGATCTAGTTTTGGCATCTTTATGGCCTCTGGTTAAGGAAACTTTGTGCCTTAGAAACTTCCCTCTTTTGAGGTGTCTCCTGGAAAGAGCTAGTTTTCGCTCCCTTTTCATTGCCCGAATTCTGTAATGGGAATGAAAGGATCAAGGCCAAGAACCTTCCCTGCTGTTCTAAGCCAAAGTCCTTTTTAACTAAAAATACTAGCATCCTTGGGTTTATAAAACGACTGTATTAACACTAAAAGTAAAGCACTGACATATTAAAACTACTCAGTGCATAACTGATACGTTGTTACACAAGGGGAATTATTCTAATAAATTCATTGTTCCATTAAGCAAATTGCTAGATTGGTCTCAGGTCTCTTACGGAGTGGGGAAAGGTGCTTTCGAGGCTGTGAAGTTGAGGGAAAAATTCCTGGTGCAACTCAGATGTTTTTTTTCAGGAAGCATTCCTTGGAGACGGGTACCTTTGAGTGCCTTAACGTTTTAGGTATATTCTCTGTGTGCCAGCTGTGTGATTATTAAGACAGCCTTTGTGTTTTTGTTTTATGTAGCAAGCTGTGTTCCCCTTTGAGAAAGGGGAACTGAACGAATGGGGTATCAGTAGTGACTCATGTCGCCTAGTCAGATGGTGATTAAGGTGTACGCAGTATTTGCATCACAGCAAGATGCTTGTGTCAGATTATGCAGCTGAATATTGCATGCAGCATTAAAGATTAAAATGAGAAATGGACCAAGCATGACGGGGTAGCTGGAAGTGATGTTGTAGATAACTAGCCTTGTCCTCATTGATTTGTCTGCAGCAAGTGACCATGATCTGTTCGTTTTGCCTTTGCAGCGGATAGGAAATGAGCTGGTTGCCTTGTAGAAGCGGCAGCAGCCTACGTGAAAGCAACGTCCGCATAAAGAAGTATCTCTAAAAAAGCCAATTAACACGTATCTTTTCCAAGAATCCTGTGGGACACGGTGTTCTCAGTAACTCTTTGTTCACTGCTGTGTGCTGCACAATAGGCTGGAGAGGGAGATTTGGGGTTTTTATGAATGGTGAATGGGGAGGGACATAATGTCATCAGATGGTGATGTCAGCACAATGAATGAAGTACTTGCTTAGCGTATCGCTTCAAGACCAAGAAAACAGACACCATTGCAGTTTGGCTTCCTAGGATAAATTGTCTTTTGCCGACGAGCTCATCTTCCCCACGTGTCATGAACAATCTATTTAAATTAGGACTTAAATAACCGGAAGAAATGAAGAAACTCCTGGAATAATGCACGTTTGTTCCCTTGCGTATCCTGTCGGGAGCTGTTGGTGGAACACCCCTTTGCAGGCAGCGCTGATGGGCTCCATGAGTTGAGGTGCTCTGGCTGTATTTTGTTGTTCTCTCCCTAGCCCAATGTTCTGCTTTTGCCTGCAGAATTCTTTGTTGAAGCTACAAGCCCTTGAAACCGATCTGTGCTCTGCATTTCTGACAACCCAGGAAGGAGCTCCGCAGCTGCCGGCATCCAAGGACCCAGCCCCTTCAGCAGTCCAGACCGGCGTGCAAACTGATGGGGGCAGTTGTGGAGGTAAGTGATCGTGTCATGATGTGTTCTCGTTTGCAATTGCAAAATAGCCGTGTGACTTGCAGCTTAATCTCAGATTTGCAGTCCTCTGGAAAACAGTGCAGAGCTAATGCAAGGCACCATTTCCTGAAGCAAAGGCTGTGTAGCGTAAAAGGGGTGATACCTGTTAATAAGACTGGAAGTGAATGGCAACAGCCCTCTTTCCTGAGAGGGAGTCTTGCTTTTCAGACAGGTTTTAAGAGCCTCGATTCCTTTATTTTCAGTTTTAGTCTGTTCTTTTGTTTAAGTAAAGTTAGGCTCTTTATTTCCTGTGTCTGTTACATCTGTATTGTGTGAGATCATCTGCCATATCATGTAATTCTATTTTTGTCATTTTTTTTGTCAGAGCAATATCACTTCATTTCTCCTATTATTGATTTTAATTTAATGCATCAGCAGAGAGATAGCGAAGGTGAGTTTTACAGCATGTTGATTTTAGTCATTCATGAATCTGTGTTATTACCCATCTGGGCAAACTGCGGTGTGCTATCTTTCCCTCCTCCCCCAGTATGAAAACCAGTACTTGCAAATATGTAGCCCCTGAGGCTCAGCGTTATTTTTTGTCAGTTCGTATCTTTTAGTCACAGGGTTGGCAGAATCGTGAGGCTCAGTGGAAGAGGAGTCACGGTTCGTGAAAAATAGGTCAAAGGCAATATGACTAATACATCTCACAGACAGGTGACAAGAATACACAGATACTTCAATTTGAGATCGTACATGGTCCACGTTAAGGCAGATAGGTCAGTAATCCCAGTTTTGCAATGCACTTTGCATTTCTGAATGAAAGCTGGTTTCAGAAGAACTTATCTCAGAAGCTGTTTGCCCAGAATTTTCATAAGCAGCAGCAAATTATTTACCTAAAAAGAAGCACAAATTATATTATTCTATTTAAGACACTTTAAAGTTTGAGTGTGGGATTGCACCGTTAAGGGAAGTGGAATCTAAACTGCAATAAAGATGAAAGAATGCAAAGAATGCTAAGTGCTCTATTGTTTCAGCTTTTGAGTATTTTAGTTTAAAAAAAAAAAAAAAAAAAAAAAAGAATGGATCTTTTAGCTCAGCTAGGTAAATACCTTACTAGCTCTCCGGTACGGATGTGGGATTTGCACTGGTGCTGGTCCCTCGGTGTGGCTCTGAGGCAGGGAGAGAACCCATGTCTGGGCTGCGCGGACGTAGACGTTTTGTAGCTCATCCAAAACGTGCACTGCCTCTTTTCCGTATGGCAGGGTGTGTTTTCCCTCGTCTTCCAGTAGTCTTCCAAACTATTTTGTTCTGCTAGTTTCATAATTCATTGTTAGGCTGGTTCATAATAGGTTTCCTTTGATTATTTTTTCTCTTGTAATTTGATTCTGTTTGAATTTGAATTCTCTTGTAATTTCAATTCTGTTTGACTGTTAGCTGTCCTCTTCTTCAGATGCCCTCGCTAGCTCCTGTTTGCCTGTCTCCATTGCCACAGGCATATGCTGGATGATACAGCATTTCTCTTGCGCAGTTCAGAGCATGCTCCCTCACTCGAATCAGCTGTAACCTGTGCTTTAGGAAAAGCTTACCTCTGTAGTGGATTTTAATGTATTCTCTTGTCATGCTAAATCCTGCTTTGTCCCTTTTTAAAATAACTCGCTATTTTGCATGAATAGAGCTAGTCCTGCATCTGTCTCTGAAATTACGACTGAGATTTCTGATACATTCAGTGTAGATACAGTAGTCATGTGGGGCTAGTGGCTATTCCCGCTGAAACTTAGATAAAGTCCGCTGATTTGTACCAATTCAGGAACAGAATTTTTAAAGGATGTGACATATATACTACATCTTTAGTTATTATTAGCCTTTGCTCAGTGAGTCTGGATATTACCTGATGAAAAAAGAGAAATATTTACGTTGTACAGAAATGTCTAATACAAACATGACTGTGCAGACTCTCTTAATTTCTGTTGTTTCACATCCCAGTCAACAAAAATGTAAAAATTATACGTATAGCAAAGGAAGCTAGAACAGTTTAGTAAAATGGCAGAGTACATAAAACTTCAATTTTTAGGGATCACCATTAATTCTTACCTCTGAGAAGAGTCAGCAATTTCCAGTTTATATTTGCATATGAAAAAACTTGAATGAGAGCTGGCCAAATGAGACCATAAAGAGTTGCAAGGGAGATATTAAGGTAGGTTTTTAAAGGGAAAAAAAGAAAAGGACTCCGCATAAATCATTTTTATAACTTTCAAATTAGTTTACATCAAACATGTGGCTAAAGCTGTGCGCAGCTGAACTTTTATCTACAAAACATTTTAAATGTCTTAAATTAAAAAGTCCTGATACTGGCATTCAACAGACGTAGCAGCATGGGGTGAGAGATCAACACATTATACCTGCATACTGTTTTTCATATGCAGTAGACTATGGCATGTTATTATTTTACTTAAACTAAAGAATATCACATGCAGGCGTACAGACTTGTACCTGTTTGGCCGTAAGATCAAAGTCCACATCATGAAGCATACCGCATATTCTAAGATACTAGATCTTGGCTCTGCGTTGTATGATGAGCTCTTTTCTGCGCTGAGCTGGACTGAGTAGATGAGATGGAGTAGATGCAGGCCAAGAGACAATTGACTGGTTTGGTTAAAGGTGGGTTTAGTTCCTGGTTTTGGCAAAAGCTGATGTTAAAGTTGTATCAGGCACACAAACACAGGAAGGCGTTTGGTCAGTGCCGGGGCTACTCATAGGCTGATGCTTAGTGTCTTGTTAAGGGTCTGTGCGGGGCTGGAATAGGGACGATGGCCTTGAACTGTAATTAGAAACGGGGCTGGTTATAACTTGTCATCGTCCTGAGATGCTCGCGCTTTGTAGTAATGGGGCCGCATAAATGACTCAGAGGGATGGAACCATTTGCTGGCTGCTTCTGGACAACAGCTAGTAATTAACGCGTCTGTGTTAGGGTTGGGACCCTTCCTGGGAGACTCATTTGTCCTAATTTCTTTCTGCATCTGGGAGGATTGGAATCTCATATACAACTTAGAAGTTGGGGCATTGGTCTAGTATCTCAGAGAAGAGAATTTGACCTACAAAGTAGGAAGTATTTAGAGGAAAGATGCTAGGTTAGAATTAATAATCAACTCTATCGTCTGGTTGTGAAAATGCTTAATGTAATTGTAATTGATGGAGCTATCAAAGTGAATTAACTTATCCGAGCTACAAAAACCATGTGCTAGATTATGGATGACTTGGACTAATCTGTATGACAACATACAATTGGATTTTTCTCGTCTGCAAAGCAAGAACAATTGGGTAGTACATGATAAAATAATATTTTAGGCCATTGTAACTATTATTTTTGAAGTCAACAGTTGCTTTCTATGAGGCATACCATTTAGAACCCGTTTGTCCCCGCTGTTTCAGTCTAGCGATAGGAGCTGCTAGCTTCAGTACATATCGTGCAGAAGTTAAATAACATGCGGTAAAAAGTTCCATTAAAATACGACGGGAGATACCCACTCATCAAGGAATACCATATCCTATATAGAGAGGTGAAAATGAAAAGCGGAGGCAAAAGAATTTTTCTAGATCTGCCTGCTCTTCTGAGGACTAAACCATGTACAGTTGTTTTTCTGTGCAGTTTTTTTTCTGGCCAGTTTTAGACTTCTCCCAAGTGAAAAAAAAATATCAGTGAAACATATTAGAATGAATGGTATACAGCACATATACAGGACAGGACATAACGTACTATGGGAACGGATGTAGCGGGATCTGAGACGGTGCGTTCTTTGCTTTAACAACATACATTTTCTATTTTTGGAGGAAAGCTTTGTATGAGAATGTGGGATTTCTCCCTAAAAGTATAACCTGCTTTAAAGCACAACCATCTGATAGCAAAAATATCAACTAGGCTGGGTCATCCTCACCTGTTTCACCCACTGAGGGTGAGGGAGAAGTTAATGGTTCTTCTCTTAGTATACCCAGGTACAGTGAAGGCAAGATAAACGCCTGGTATCCTCTGGAGGCAGGCTTAGTAATGTGCCCGTTATTTTCCATGTTATTCATGAATGGAATCCGTCTGATAAGATTCACCAATTCTTAGTTTTTTAGACCAGAAAAATTCGTTCTAGCTTGTAGCTTGACGACCTCTTTAAAACAGATTTTGCCATTTGATTAATTAAAGGAGTTGTGGCTAGGTTTCCATTTATTTTCAGAGACAATACTAACATAGTATCATAAGCAGCAGTCTTTGGGGCAGCAGTCACTGTACACTACTTGGAATAACTACCTTGAATGTCACTGTTTGTATATTTTCGTATCTTGTGTTGTTTAAACCCGTATATATGTTACTTCAAAGCTTGAACGCTTTCTGCAGGTCACTGCAAGCAACATCGGAGGTTCTTAGCATCAGGACAGACTGTATTTTTGTTCTACCTTTTCCTTGACCAAAGGAGTTGAATGCTGAGGCGGGGAATGAAACTTGTTGTGTACACTCATCTTCTGTCTTAGGAATGTGGCTTTTGAAAGCAAATAGATCTTATGAAAACCTAACTATGCTGCTGTTCTGGGAAACTCCCCATCTTTAAATAATACTTCATAGTTTACAAGAACACCCACTTTCTACCGTGGAATTCGAGATACTTTATGTTAGGCCAGTAACTGTCTTTTCCATTTTCTGATCCTCAGAAAAGGAGGATTATGTTCCAAGCTGCATGTGCTACATTGCTAAACAGCTTGCTGTGTTTGCTTTGAATGCTTGTGTATGTATAGGTTTGTTGTTATCTATGTAGCTAAATGTCTTGTGAATGACCTTCAATGCCATATTGGTTTGTGTTTTTATTCTAGAGCCTGTACCAGCCCAAAGAGACTGGCAGAGTGACGTGGACAACAGCCCGCAAGAGCATCGCTCCCTAGGGACCAGTCGACTGCTGTATCATATTACTGATGGAGACAATCCCCTCTTGTCACCACGCTGCTCTATATTTAGCCAAAGCCAGAGATTTAATCTAGACACAGAGTCTGCCCCTTCTCCACCAAGTGCTCAGCCTTTCATGATGTAAGAAAAATCTGTTTTAGTTCTTATGTACTTTCAAATTATTTTTGTACAAGCCAAGACCTGGACTCGTTAACGTTTTTCAGTCGCTGTTATGTCATAAATAAGAAACTTTCGTATTATAGCGCATTTTGACATGGTTAATTTGCAGTGCGAGAGAAATAGGACCTAGTATTTTTCAGAATAACGGAGTACACCGTTGTCTGACGTCTTTGTTGATTACACTTATTAATGACAGTTTAAATGACAGTTTTAGTGGTTAGTAGTAATTGCTCTGACGAGGGAACGTAAAATAGAAAGGGTTGTTGTTGGAGGTCTAATATTAAAATGTGCAACTGTAATAAAATTATTGCCTGAGTTATTCACTACATATGAAAGAGTCGCAGAACATAAGAACAGTCCCTATGTCATCTCCTAAAACCAAGGGGAGCGTTTCAGTCAGAAACCGCCCTTTAAAAGCATATATGCATAGCTCAGTGCACTGCATATAAATAATCATCAGACCTATTGGTTTGTAACTGTAAAAAAACCTCGAAACTAAATTGTCAACAAGAATTGAAACAAGACACAGAGCCTTATAGCCAGTCCTTTGATACAGATAATCATGCTTTCGTTTTTTGCAGGCCAAGAAGTTCTTCTAGATGTAACTGTGAGGAGTGCAAAGAACCGCAGACAGTAGCACAACTTACCAAGCATCTTCAGAGTCTCAAGAGAAAAATTAGGAAGTATGAAGAAAAGTTTGAACAAGAGAGAAAATACCTGGTAAGATAACATACCATCGAAAAGATAAGGAGAAGTACGACAAAGGGGAGGCGAGAATCTGAGTGTATCTGAACTTCTGCAAAGCAGTAGGAAAAGGGTACTATAGATAAAATGATATAGGAAAGTGATCAGTGAGAGAACGTGCTTTATTATCTTTCAGTGTATTCAGTAGTCCTAAGGCTCTAATTTGCGTCTTCCTTGGATCACCATCGTCTCTTGCAAAATAACCATCTTCTAGATGTATGAGAAGTGTGAATCAGTTAAGCATAGCTGACAAGTCTGTGAATCACAATTACTTAAAATAGGATAAGCTACTTCCTTACTTTGTAGACAAAGTCATTTGCTTGGAAAGTTTGTTCTGCTGTGCAGGTTCCTTTATTCAGACAGAGTCCTGTAAAGCTCCAAGCCATAGTGCTCAACAGAAACTGATAGTCAAGACGGAAATGAGGGTTTCGATGTCTTGCTGGGGTGGGATCCTCGTATTTGAGACCAGCTGTGTGGTCTGTGCAATGGATGCAAGAGCATTGCTCATAATTAAGCTAGTCTAGGTAAGGTGAACTGGGCAGTAGAGACAGACCAAAACATCTACGGTGCTAAGGATACGTGCAATAGGCAATAGAGTGTTCATGATATGTTATGAATGCATTGAAATGAAAACGGAACCAATTGCCTATTACCTCATAATCTCATCAGTGACGGAAAATCTGAATACCCTTCTGTGACCTGCCCTATGGTCGTGATGCACTCTTGGGAACAAAATTTCATACTTAAACGGTCATCACCCTGTGACTGGAAAAGACATTATTTCAGAGGTTGAGTTTTGCAAAGCAGCTGTCATTTAAAATATCTGAGTTTTGACGTTCTAGTGTAAATTGATTAAAATTGTTGAAATTTGTATGTGTAAAGAAGGAACTGATATATGAAGGTTTTGTTGTTTGTGGTTTTTGAAGTCATATCGTTGCACAGGATTTTTCTCACTTCATTAGTTAAGCAGCTGGTTTGAAATGTTTTAAAGTATTACTTTCCAAGAGAATCGCTGCTTTAAAGCAGTAAGGGCTTATCCTGCAAGGGACAGAGCGCTTCAGTTACCATCCTGCAACTCACTTAGGAATGTGGCTAACTTTAGGTATGTGATCAGTCCTTTTGAAGTTGTTGAGATTGCTTACCCAATTAGTCAAGGACTTAAATAGGGTCACGGCAAAAATGCTCAGATCCGTGTAGCACCCCACGGTGGGGAGAGAGAAGTCCTGACAAACGAGTAGCATGATGAAGCCCAGTGCTCTGTGTGACATCTGTGATGTCATGCAGTTGGAACGAACGATGGGCCTTTTTGGTCGTGCTACGGGGGGGCACAGCATGCCCTGCAGGGCTCTGGGGGGAAGAAGATGGGAGCGGGCGGGCACGAGCGTGTTCCCGACTCGCCACGAAGGCCGTGCGGGGCTGCCGTCACCTCGCCCTTCCCCTGGCTGGGTGAGAGGGGGAGTTCTGTCTGAATTCTCCTAAATGAGACAAAGGATCTGGATGGAAACAGTAAATGCTGTTTCGTAATGCCACTTAGCTTTTGCGTAGCTGCTCTTTGAATAGATGCCTACCGGACTCATCGTTTTTATAATTACCAAGGCAAGAAGAGTCGTTCACTGTAACTGTCTTTGTGCTGCCTGTATTCTGTAACGTTGCATATTTAAAATACATACGCTGCTTTACTGAGTGGACTGTCTCCAGGCCTCTTGCTCCGCCTTGAAGAAATTCAAAGCGTGATGCTGTAAGGCTTGTGTGTGAAATAAACCCGCTACACTTAAAGCCTGTCTCCCTGCCCTTGAATAAAATTAAGCCTCTCAAATTTGATATGTACAAGAAAAATAATAGTATCATCATCGATTCCTTTTCTTCCCTCTTTTTCTTTACGTTCAGCCCTCGCACGGTGACAAGACTTCCAATCCCGAAGTCCTGAAATGGATGAATGATTTGGCTAAAGGTCGTAAGCAGCTCAAAGGTACGTAATAGCATGTCATGTCATTTTATTGCTCATCGGGAACTTTCATAATATAGGCAGTATTTGAAAGCAGTGTGAATGCACTTGCAATATTTGAGAGTTTGGCTTCCATTCTTATTCCTCTGCTTATTTTTCACTAGTGCATGGTGTTAGGTCTTTTAATGACAACAGAGACAGGAAATGATGGGACTTAGCTTGATTCCTGATAGCAGGGGTGGAAGTAAGCCAGTTCAACCCTTGTAATAAGGCTAAAAAGGGAAATGGGAGAATACACTTCTTCCCCTCATAAACATCAACACTCATCCAAAAGGCACTGTGGTTTTTTTTTTTTTTTTTTTTGTATTTTTCTGAGTGTCTGTATGCTGTTCCACGGTCAGTGGAATTAATGCAAGATACTGAACTAGTTAAAGTAAAGTTAAAAGCTTCCTTGTGATAGTACAAAAGTAGCAGCAAAAGTTTTTTTAGCACTGGTGTTAATAGATCTCTTAAGCCTTTAATTTATCAGAGAAAAATCCATTTTTACGATTCTAGATGTGGTCTTGAGGGTCACATTTTGCCCTGGACTTGGCTTTGAAGGCGCACAGCTCCATTAACATCTATGGGTATATCACATGTTTGCCCCTGGGGAGAATGTAGCCAGGACCGATTGATTTTTTTTTAGGGCTATTTATAAATTATCTATATCTTTTTTTTTTCATTATAAGTAGATCCTCACTACTAATTAAATCATAGTATCATGCTTTATGCCTGTTTGGCATGTAGTCAAGAATGAAGATACAGAGGGTGTGATTGCAGTAAATGAAGGAATTAGAAACTCGTCTTTCAGTTAGTTCACGTCTTCTGGAAAACCCTCCTTCACTACTGTACTAGGCTGCATAATTTCTAGATTCCTCTGTCTGTCCCTGCCCCCCCGCCCCCCGATGAACCTTATGTTATAAATCCAGGAAGGGCAACTGTGGGGGAAATGGCCTAAGTACATATTTTAGCTTTCTGAAAATTGAAACTCCAACTCCAGCGTAGCTCCAGCAATCCAGTTGATTTGGTTTTCATAGATCAAATTCACCTTCATACCCAAAATGCCTCGGTCCTGTGAACACCCTTGATTTTGTTATCCTGAATAATGACACTGATTTCAAGTGAGGACAGATCCGTGACATCCACTAGACAGGTATGACTGAAATAGAAGAACGCTTTCAGGCGCTTGGAGGTCCTTCTTCAAGTCCCTAAGGCCTGTCCATCCTTTCTAGCTCTGTTAGTTTAAGAAAAGTTACTACTTTGGCATGCAAACCTGGCGTGTATCCCTAGTCCATCTCAGCTAAAAAGTATATTGCTGTTTCTGCACAGATTTCAAAAAATCTAACATGTTTGGAGCTAGTGATCTGCTGCCCTGCCCAAGGTCCTTCTCCAGTCAGTCATGGGCTAGGAACAAATCCTGGTTTTACGGAGCTAATTCAGACCTTAATTCAACGTCCTCGTTGCTCTGTGCAGCTCCCTAAAGCTCCAGAGCCTTTGGCTTGGTGTCAAGCTAAGATGCCTGTCTGTGCTTTCTTGCATCCGGGTGGGCTGCTGACTGCTGGGAAGCTGGGAGATGCTAGGACTTCTCTGCCTTGTGCTGGGTTGCTCCGGTGCTGTTCTGTCAAGGGAAATTATTTAAACTAAGTGGGTGATCCTCCATGTCAGGGCCAGCTCCCTGGAGAGACAGAGCTGCTGGCAATGGTGGCCTGGCCGAGATGGCAAAGCAGCCTCGGGGAAGGAAGGGCTATGGTTTGGCTCGTGCTAGTGAAGAGCAAGGCTGATTATTCAAACCTGCAGTACATAGCTGTGCCCCACTCCATCGGGCTGGCAGCCAGCACGGCAGGCTCTGCAGCACAGCTTGGCACATCACTTCAGATGTTACATGTTGAAGTGAAGCAGAGTTACCTTCCTAAACAGTCGTGGTATGATAATTCAGTGCAAGAAGCGTGGATGTATTTTTCTTACACTGTCCGAGGAAACGTTTTTGCAAATACTTCTCAAGTGTTCACTTGCCAAATAATTTATCTTTTAGAGCTGAAACTCAGAATGTCAGAAGAGCAGAACTCCACCTCTAGAGCACCCCAAAGAAATGATCGTTGTGAAAGCACTGGGATCTCTAAAGAGGCTGGGGCACAGGAGGCAGCAAGCATTGAACCAGCTCCCTCGGTAGAAGAAACCATGGACAGTGTGTTGAGACGATTAAAGGAGAAAAGACAACGCTTGAACCTTCCTGAGACTCCAAAGGTATTTCAGTCTAACGAGTGTGCCTATGTCTTTCAAAACTTTATCCTCCGAAGCAGAAATTGATTGGAGTGTAGCTGTCTCGGGACAGGTTAGGTGGGGGGTGCATTCGTAGTACCTTCTGGCGCTATCGCGCATTTTCTCTCTGACAAGATAACAACCCTGGTGCAGTTTTCTGAAGTGATTTTTCTGTGAAGAGTTGCACAGAAAAAGAGGTGCAGAAGTGTTTTCACATGGTGCTGAGCGCGTTTTGCTGGGATGCGTGTGTGCTAAGAGCTGGTGAAACGTGTCAGGTTTCAACCAGACTGCTTGCTGGCTCAGGCAGGACTTGGTTCTGCTTACTGGCCTCCCTCGTGCTTTTCAGGCTCCTAGAGAAATGACTGAGGATGGACTGGGAGGCTTTTTTGGCTCCCGCAGCATACACTGAAACAGAGAGTGGGTCAGTCCTGGCGAGTGTGGAGAGTGCGTTTTGCTCGGTCCTTTCCTAGCAGGAATCAAATACAGCCAGGCGGTTGATAGCAGGCGGTGACCCTCAGCTTTGGTTCCTGCACGGGACCCATAGGTGCCTTCTTGGAAGAACAGAAGGAGCTATGAATTTGGGGTAAACCAGCAGAACTGGCTGGTGAATCTCTTCCAGACGCTTCTGAAGCGAGAGGTATTACGAAAATGTGCTGGGTGTTGTGGATAAAATTGCAAAGTTATTTTGACAATAAAGGCCCCGCCTCACCAGAGGAATGCTGAAAGTCTCTGGCCAGTCAGTAGCACTGCACACTAAGATGATATGGAGGGCACAGTCATCCAGACTGTTGTGCCCTTCTGATCTTGTGCATCTAATTGTGCCGATACTGCTTCTGCTCTTCCACGCTCTCATTTACTGTTCTACGTTTAGGAGAAGGTTCCACATCCCGTGGAACATGCTTGTGTGGTTGGGCAATTTATTTTTGTTTTCGAACTAGTATATATTTTAAAATTACACTGTACCTCCACAACACTGACACGTTTTAGGATCTGTCTGAAGCTGTTGCTATGCAATATGTATTGTCCATAAAAAGACAGTTTTATGCTATTTTTACTGTCAAATGATGCGGCTTTGCCTGCTGCTATATAGCCAAGACAGACAATCCCCAAAAGGTACCTGAAATCTAACACCAAGACTCCAGATGTTGAAAGAAAAAGGGGGAGAGTGGGAGTGACAAGGATAAGTGAAAAAGAGTAAAATGTTAAACTGTGCTACAACATCTAACACTAAAAAATGGTTTGGGGTAGAGTTCAACAGCAGAAAGTAACCAGTGGAGGTAATGCAATTTTTTTTTTTTTTTTTTTTTTTTTTTTTTTTTTTTTTTTTTTTTTTTTTTTTTTTTTTTTTCGTTCTTAATAACCAGCTACTGTAGAAAGATTAGAACTCTGTAGAAGTATGTTGTGCCTTTGTAGCTGAGATTTTGGGCTCTCCATGTGTGACTGACCTTTTAAATTATTTCTTTTTGTAAACCAGCTTTTCAGCACCTGAAACGGATAAGAAATGTTTCGCAACCAGAACTCCTTTGTGAAAAAACAAACAACAAAATAACAAAACCCATGTAGATACCCCTGAAAACTGATGGTTTCCGCTTTAAAAAAAATTACTAGGCACGGAGTGAGATCAGATGACACCAAAATAGACATCAGTGAAGAAATCCTGCCCCAGAAAAACAATCTCCTAAGCGTAAATTGGCCGTGGTTCTTTGTCCTGTTCAGTTTTTGATTGGTTGCAATTCTCTTGATTTTTGAAAGAAGGCTTCCTAATTCTGTGCAATTCCCATGTTGTCTTGAAAGAGTCTGGCAGAGACCTCTGTAACGTAAGTTAAGTGTTTGCACAAGTTAATATTTTTAAATACTTTTAAAAGAATCATTTGCCCGTTTTATTTGCACTCTTTTTGTATTCCTGTGAAGAAAACTTGAACTGAAAGAATTACCTGTTTCACGATAGTTATACGAAACGGCAGTGGAACAGAAGCTTGAAAAAGAATAAGAGGAAGTCAAATTGATCTATTTCAAGATGAGGTATTTTAGTAGGTCCTTAAGTTATTTAACATTAAAATGACTGATTTTTAGTCACGAGTCATTCTGGACTTTTGGAGGAGAGTGAGGTTTACAACCCTGATACGAAATGAATCAAAGCTGTCCGCTGGTTAGAGCAAAGATCAAAGACTTTTCATTTCAGCTATACGTGTCTTCGGTGTAGATCGTAATTTTGAACTGAGCCCTTTTATTTTGTACATAACTTCTAAATCCTGTACCGGAATCTGACCTAGATTGATAATCAACTAAATAGTAACTAAATCTTTTTTCACGATTTTGGGACGGATACTAGTGTTCCATGCAGGAGCGCGCGCGGTTGCTGCCCTCAAGGGCTTGAACCTCGACTGTGGAAAGCCTTTAAGCCCTACTGAAGCACAAATGAGAGAATCGGTGTCATTAAGAAAGGTGCAGAGGGCAGTGTTCAGTGTGACTTGCGAAACTGGGTTCGGGAAGTATCTGAATGACTGTTAGGAACTGACAGTAGGATTCGTGCCTCACAGAACTTGCATTTTTAGTAGAATCACTTCAAGGGCCATTTTGCGCATCAGATATTCAACAGTCATCCTAAAAAAAAAAAAAAAGAAAAAAGGTGTTTTTGGGGTGGGGGGAGGCAAACAGGAGGGATGTAAAATCCTGAAACACCCAGTGTGTCTAAAGAGGACAAGCCACAAAACCCGAAATAGCAAAGAGTGTGGTTTTTCAGAACAAAATGCCCCGCTCCCCGCCCCCCCCCCCCCCCCCAAAAAAAAAAAAAAAAAGCTTATGAGTACACTTCCTCAATGAGAAAAATCCAGAGAAAATTAGCTTGTGAATGATTCAGTAGCCCAAAAATGGATGACCACCTATTCCTGTCAGCGTCACTAGTGCGTTACCAGTTTATGGGAGCTGGTGTCGGGTTTAACAGTTCGCCTCATGTAGTCCTTTTTTAGCTGCAAGGCTGCAGGAAAAAAAGCTTGAGAATGTGAATGCCGAAGTTCAGGAGCTAAAAGGCAAATAAACAGAGCTTGAATTGTATTACTTCCAAAAAAAAAAAAAAAACCCTCCTGATATTTAAACCAGTCTGAATGTGTAATGGCTGGGGATGTTACTGCCTCCTTAGTAATAGCAAGGAGAAGCAGCTCTATTTACAGTTGTGATTCACTGGCAAACGCCGCCTTTCAGAGCAGGGTGGCAGTCAGGCCTGGCCTCGGCTCCCGTGAGTTGGCGTAGCTCCACGGACCTGCCCTGCCACCTTGCACAGCTGAGAAAGCTGGCAGAAGCGTCCCTCGGGGCGGCTGGGCCCCCTCCAGCGGGGATCCAGGAGCACCTTATACATGGCGATAGCTTCTGTCCAGCCCCTGCTATCTTACTGTCTGTCCGCAGATTTTGTATTTTCTATGTGCAAATGCGACAGCTAACATAAAAGGCATAATGATTAGGGGAGCTGACTTGTGATGAAGACAGCAGCATATAATACTTTGTGTGCCTTTGGTCCCAAGTTACGAAAACCAAACTACTGCTTTATTTTTATATGCATCCTCTTTTTTTCTTTTTAAACCAAACTACTGCTTTATTTTTATATGCATCCTCTTTTTTTCTTTTTAAACCAAACTACTGCTTTATTTTTATATGCATCCTCTTTTTTTCTTTTTAAACCAAACTACTGCTTTATTTTTATATGCATCCTCTTTTTTTCTTTTGTTATATGTAGCAAACATGTCTTACATTTAGATTGTAGTTTTGCAGATGACCGGTTACTTCCAGTTATCGGTCATCTGGTTATTGACCCATTTTGGTCCATCCTCTCCTTGGCTATGAAGCAGTGGTTTTATTTAATTAGCATTGTTTTTCGTGTTGTCAAATGCAGCCTGCAGTCCTAAGATGTCCTAGTCGGTTCTGCAGTTTGTGTTTCCACCTGCCTCCTCTGATTTTGAAATTGTCAGCAGTGTTGACCCTAGCTGAATGTAAGCCTGCCTTGAGCTTGCTAATAAAAAGAGCTAATAAAGTAGGCCCAAATGCTTAGCCCTCTTGAGATTGTTTCTCACGTGTAAAATCAGTATTAGTGATCGCTCCCTGTTTACTGCTAGCCACTCCATTGCTTCAGGCTTAATAATTTTTGAAAGAATGATCCTTGAATTAATTGCAGAACTAGCAGACAAACAGCCAGCTGTTTTGTAATACGCCTAAATTCTAGATAGCGGCTCCTCTCTTAATGTGAATGCCAGATGATTTTTGGAGCAATTGACTAACTCATGCAAACATGTAGAACCGCATGTGATTAGTGGTTCTGTAGTGCTCTCGTGTTCGGGCAACAAACAAAAAGGGTTCTGCTCCTGTTGAAGTTAATAGCAGGGCTATCCTTTGATATTAGGAAAGCAGAGATTGATATTACGGATAGGAACCATAATACTTACGTACTTATGTACTTATTTACGTTGGCAATAAAGAGAAGAGTGATTGACTTTGGGCAGGGGAGGGATTGCCTTTCTGCAGAATCTCCACTGTTCTTCACATCACTTCATGGATGGTGGTGGCTGAGCTCTGTAAAATTACATTAGCTCTGTGTGTTCCCTGCTATTCGGACCCAGATAAAATGTGCAAGTGTCAGGAGCAGGTCGTCTTGGGAAAGGAGGAGAAAGGAGAGGAGAGAAATACCAGTTAAATAGTGTGCTCTCAACAGCCAACATCTACGAATTTGTTGGTTGATCACCAGGATTGAAAAATGATTGTCAAAGTATCGGCTTTCCTCTTTGTGGTACCAGAGATTTATATGATGATTTTGAACAGAACTAAACTGCTTCTGTTGTTTAAACCCGCTTCACAGGATCCCCCGTACTCCCAGCCTGCATGGTGGTGCTGGGTGTTCAACCCAGCAGAGTGCCGAGGGTGCGGCGTGGGAGGAGCCCGTGTCTGCCACCGCTGCTGCGCTTTCTGCAGCCCTCTCTGTAGCAGTTCTACAGACGCGCGTTATCCAGCAATGATGTCCTGCTGGCTGATGAGACTCTTTCTCTCTCTCATTTTAGAGAGAGCACCTTTTTCAGCTTTTATGGTGTGTTAACCGTGGTATCCCAGTGGCTGGATATTTAGGCGTTTCACTGCGGATCTGGCATGCCACTGTATAAATGTGTGTCTGTGGGTCCACTGTTTGCATAGTTGAAACTTCCTGTTCTTCCCCTCTCACTGGCCAAGGCAAAGCTGTTTCTCTTTTTGGAGGGATAGATAAAAAGCTGAGGCATGCTCTTTCTGGCTTTCTGCAAGTTTTTGAGTATTGTGTCTAGAATTATTGTTCTTTTCATTTGTAACAACCAAATCATGTTTAACTTGCAACGGGGAATGCAGTGGTCTATGAGCTGACCTGTCAAATAGAGGTTAATAACTTAGAGCTGCCATTAATAGATTTCTCCGTAAGAGGGAATGAGAAAAGTATTTCTGTAGTTTCCAGTTACTACAGCTAATCGTGTTATGCTAATAACCTTTCAAAAATGCTCTGGGAAAATACTGCACTGCTATCTGTGGCAGCTCAGCACCAACACCTTCTACTCCTGTGTTGGTATCTTCTTTGGCCCAGAGCTCCCCTTCCCAAAAACCCAAGCCATGAAACATTCCTCATGTACGTGCAATAGGGCTTTGATAGTCAAACACAAAAACCTCTGCTTGTTCAGTGTTCCTGTTAACCAGTATGCCCAGAATAATTTTTCAAATACAGGCTCTGATCCTGCAACACGTGAAGGTCGCTGCCTTACTGAATCAGACCATAGTTTTGTACTCTTGGAAACTTTCCAGCTAAGGGTGCAGTTGTTCTTTCACTGTCCCATTAATGTGTATTTATGATCCATTTAAAACCGCATTCATATATAAATTTGGGTCCTGTTCCTTGCTAAGTCAGTGCCAAACCCCATTGACCTCAGTGCGGGCAGAAACAAAATTTCAGTATTAATGTTATTTGTGGAGAATAGATTATTATTAAGCAGATACTTATCTGTACCCTTGCCGTGAAATCCTGACTCATAATCTTATAAATCACAACTTTTTCGAATAGGATATGACAAAAAGGCAGATGGCTTTGGAAAAAATCAGTCTTCAGAAATGTCTACTATATTTTGAGAGTATTCATGGACGACCTGTAAGTATATATGGAAAGATAGATAAAATGATGTAATTGCTCTAACAAACAGTTTTGAAATCACAAAGATATTTAGATGAATGTTATATGATTAAGATAACGTTAGTAATTTCAAAATAATCTTCAGTTATAAACGTTATTGCTTGATACTCATGAATTTGGATTGTATTTTAAAAAATAAAGGAAAAAGACAAGTTTCTGTCGGCCCTCTATCACTCTTCCTGAGTGAAAGCTGCAGATTCTGCTGACAAAAACTAAGGACTGTACAGCCAAAGCAGACTTGGCTCATACCTGTTGTAGTTGTAGGTTTCTGTAATCTGTCTTGTAAGTTCATGCTACAGCCTATGAAAGGTTGAAAATCCAGCCGCTGAGGAAGATTTACAGGGCACAATCTGAGTTTTGACATGCAAAAAAGAAATGACTTATCATCTGTGTTCTCCTTTATTTCGTAGCAGCACTTGAAACTATTACTTGCAGTCCTTTCAAGGACTTACTATTAAAGGGAATTCATTGGTGAATAAGCGTACACATTCATGACTGGTGCGTAGGAAATGAAGGTACAAACCAAGAAATTGCCACCGTCGATGGTACTATGATTTGAAAAGCTATCTGTAAGCAGCTGAGGAATTCCTGTTTGACTTCTGTGAATGTCTCTGTTCTTACGACTCTCTCTGTTTCTGCCTTGTAATTCTTGAAGTAGAGGAGGAGGGGGGAGCAGCACGAGCATGTGTGTACAAGAACGTGTCGGTTCTTAAAGATTATGACAATCTGAATCTGACCTCTCTGCATCTTGGATAAAATCATTTCTTTCGATCCTCTTTGGACTTGGAGTGAGAGATGAGGGATGGAGATAATACATTGGAAGGGCACGAAGCAAGGGTATTTCCTAAGAAACAGAACAAAAAAGAAAATGAGTTTTTAGTGCTATATAAAAGGTAAAAGAGACACGAAGAGTCAAAGATAGAAAAGAGAACAATAGGGCATGGGGTTGAGTAGCATAATAAGTGGTAGCATGGGGTTGAGTGAAGTTGTTTCCTGCTGAAGTAGAAGGAAGCTCCGGCCATCTGAAGAAGATGCTAACTGCATAAGGAAAGAACTACTCTGTGATACAAAGAAGTGGCAAGCAAGGAATTCCAGATCTGCCCATCAGCTCTACCTGAGGTCACAGAAAATTCAGGGAAACTTAGGAACTGAAAGCAGAGAAATGAAGTTAGGTATTTACTTGGCAAGACTTTTGCGTCTTCTGCTGTTGGGAAAAAATAAACAAGCAACCTGGAGATTACCTCACGGTCTGAGGTGCTTGCTTGAATTACCACGTACCGGAGAGGAGCAAACGTTAATCTTTGTATCTATATTCATGTATTCTTCTCTGGGAAAGGCTGGAGAGCCTGCGTGCACCAAGAGCAGCCAGACAATGAGGCCCAGGTTCAGTTGCAAGCACAAGGCTCTGCGCCAGGTTCAGGGCTGGAGGGGTCCAGGAAGAGAGAGCTGCTGGGCCCTTCACTGGCCAGGGAAGCTCACACGGTTTTGTAATTGCCCTGGGGGGGTGAGGACTGCAGAAAGTAGGTCGGTGAGCGCCCAGGCAGAGGTGTTCAGAGTGACCGGAGCCAGCAGAACGGTGAGCGCTCTGCTGTCGAAGGTCGTCGCAGTGCAGGTAATAATGGATTTTACAGTCCTTGAACACTGATCGCTGAAGCCTCAAGACTCCCTGTTTTAGGTGTGTGAACTAGCAACCCATGACATGCCTTGTCATTTAACAAATATAATTCCACCTCCTTATCAAAAGGTTAATTAGAATGGAGGGTGCCAGGCTGGGTTAGCAGGAAAAATAATCAGTAACTTAGCCGCTTATACAAAGACTCTTGTTTTTTTGGCAAATAGCAAAATTCAGTCCTAGACAAGCTGTCTCGGTTACTGTGCAAACCTGCTTAGGAATTCAAAGAAGGAAACCAGTAGAAAAAGCTATCAAGTTGCTGCGTTTCCTGTATTATAAATGCAGCAGTCTTGAAATGCAGCAGAAATTGCTGGTGAGCATGTGTGCGCTGTCAGCATACAGTATGGATGAGCACCATCTTCTTCCAAACATACCTGAACAAAAATCAGACAGGTTGCTAACTAGGGTTAAATCAGAAATGAATCTGTTTTTGCTTGTTTGGCAATTCCTGGCGCTCCTGTCCATTGCAATCAAATGGAACGTGAAGTACTGGGCAACAGAAGTGCACTAGCTGGGATGGGAGAGACTTACCTGGATCAAACTCTTTTTAAGACCTGATCTAAACTAATAGTGGTCTTAAAATCAGTACTTTCGGTGCTCAAGTGCATAATGGAGCAAACTAAATGAACAGGTTTGTCCTCACGGTGGAATGCAGTGCCGGGCATGTGCACAGCGGCTCTGAGTGGGGCCAGCTCACCTCCTGCAGCTGGATACCTCTATCGTCAGAGCTCTCCATCCTACCGGGAAGCTGAGTGTGCCGGCCTTGGCAGAGTGTCATGTTACTGTTCCTAGACTGTTTCCGTTATTACAGTAAGTACCAGTGCAATGCACAGTAGAAGCATGCCTTAAGACTGTATTAGCATCGTCAGAATAAGAACGGAATAGTTTACTATTGTAGCTAGTTTACCCCCTGCCTGGATGGGAAGGCTCAAGGAAGTGAAGACTCCACTGCATGTATTTTCCATTAGAAAACTGGTTTACCTTTTCCGTTTCAGAAATACATGATTGCTTGGGTGGATCACACTACAGTTGCCTTGGAATATCAGTGGACGCAAGACACACATGAGGCCAGACGCTTCTGAGCTTTACAGGACGAAATGAGATTTTTTCTTCCCTCTATCTTCCAGCAGAGTTTATCTTACTACGATTTCTTTTTAGGTTACTAAACAAGAAAAGAATCTTATGAAGCCTCTTTATGACAGATACAGAATTATCAAGAAACTTCTTGCAACGCCATCTTTGATCACCACAATTGTAAGTTGGAAAGAGTTCATTTCTGTTGTCAAGCAGACATCCTATATGCTGTTTGATTTGTACCTCTGTGTCAGGCTTGTGGCAATCCAAGGAGCGATACTTGAAGAACCTGCTCATTGGTTTAAACAGGGTGCTGATACCTCAGGCAGAGCAAACGCCCTGTATAAACTTCGAAGCATGCCACAGGTTGTAATGCAGCAGTTTCTGAGGCAATCAGTTCGAGTGGTTGAGCAAGAGATCAAAGGCTGGCATCAGTTTTTTTATTATGACTAAGCTGTCCAACACAAAATGAAACCTCTCTCTTTTCATAAAACACTCGACTGTCACTATATCTATCTGCTGTGTAAGTTTGTTGAAAATGCTTTTATTAATCATGTAGCACATAGACAGCATTTGCAGGTACTTTGATTAGTAATATGACAACGTAAAGTAATAGTACTGGTCTCACGCAATGTGAGTAGAGGTGGTGGAATCGGGCTGGTTGTAAGTTAATTATTGTCTCCGTATCAAAAAATAATAATCACAGAGGCTTGTACAGAATAGAGTGATTGAGGTTGGGTTGATTTTTACAAGTTATGCTCTTTTGTCTTGTTGGATTTCATTGGAGCTTTAGACTTTTTAAAAAATTCCAGTCGAAATCTTTGCATGCACATACGCGCGTGCGCGCGCGCACACACACGCACACGCACACGCACACGCACACGCACCCTTCATTTCAGAATCCAACTGAAGTTCCCTTGTGTTACTTGGAAGGAGCTTTGGTCCGTGGAATTTTCTGTGTAAGCCATAGTTTCGAAAGCCCAGCTTTTCTTTTGACGATGTACGAATTTGGGGAAGACAGCAGTATGATTCTGTTTCGGTAGATAACAATGGTACCATTCTGTTTCGGTAGATAACAACTGTACCGATAAAACCAATCGTAGAATCTCTGCCTTTAGCTCCTGTTATAACTTTAATTTTTGGACATAATGTAAACACTAGATGGTATATCAGCGGCGTACAGCCAGTTCCAGCAAGCCTGACTGCAGCGCTTGCATAAGAGGAGATTGTTTTCTAAACCTTTACTAGTAGTAAAAGCCTTTGAATAAACAGAGAATTGATCACTAGAGCTACTCAGAAACAGGGCAAGCTCCTGTTGTGTTCAGTAATGCGGAATAATACACAGTAGCTCAGTGAGCCCCATGAGGTTCCCATGAACAGACTCAAAGCCCAGGTAGAGCTTCCAATATTTGTGATCTGTTTAAGCGAATGCATCCAGGAGGCAAGATGCTAATTTATTATTCAGCCTATTAATTGCTAATGTTACGAGGTAAATGACTAAGTTGATAACGCTTTACGTTTTACAAGCAGGAGGAGGAAGACTCAGATGAAGACCATTCTCAAAGCAGCCATGAGCTATCATCCAGTCCAATATCTTGCCTTCCTGTCGATGAGAACCTGTGTTACTCACAGGAGCAGAGTGAGCCTGCATACGTTTCACCTCTGGATGAAAAGAAAGTTTTCAGACAAACAGCCTTGTCTATGTCCAATTTACATGAGGCAACAGTGTGAGTTCTGTCTTTTCTCTTTTCTGAATGTTTTGAAATATTTTACGTAGAACTTGTGAATTAAGCATGAGCCATGCTTATTGCATTAAGGTATTCTAAGCCAAAGAAATAGTCCAATGAATTCTTACGGGAGAAAAGACGCAGGGAGTGCTTGTTGCTTGCTCAGCGTACCTGTGGCTTGAGATATTCATTCACACGAGTCTCTGCCAAGTCCATAAAGAAAAGGTGACAGAATATAAACGCCTAAGAGAAGTACCTACATATTAGAGAGAGACAGATAACACACAATGGCATAGTAGAAAAGATATGCTGACTTACCTGTTACTGCTTCAAAAAACAGTTAGATATCCAACTACTTAAATTATTACAAATCAATCACAAAACAATGCACATCATTAAACGGTTCAACCAGGCAGCATAGTCTGCTCCTAAATATGCATTGCGATTGATTGTATGAGTTAACTGGGATACTGTGCAAAAAGGTGGTCAGAGACGACAACAACTTTCCCACTAGCAGTAACAGGTGACGTGAGTGAAGGATCAAGCATTAAATTGTCACAGGGGAGGCTTTTCAGTGTGTGTAGAATCAGATTCTTCCTTGCATAAGACTGTTGGCATCTAGATGCCTAGAAAATTTAATAATACCCCCCACTCGAGTCCAAGAGCTCTCTCCATTAAAAAACAAAACAGGAACCTCCTCCTGATGATTTGTATTTAAGACAGGTAAGAAATTTCAGCATGAGGCAACATGCATATGGGCCGATGTCGCTCAAGCTGAAATTTGTTCAAGAACATGCATCCTAGGAATAGATATGTTCTCACAGCTTATAAGATGTTATATTTTCCATGTCTTTTCGTTGGTGTCTCATGCATGCATGCATAAATTGACTAGGCTCTGCCAAAACCGAGAGAAAAAGAAAAAAGTCCTTTTTTTCCATGTAACTCAAATACGTATGTGCTATTGAGCTCGCAACTGCTGTGGAGACATTTCTGTGCATTGCGTTAATGTTTAAAAAAAAAAAAAAATACCGGCGGGATATAACAAACAGAACGCTTTCTCTGCTTTAAAAATCTGATAATCCAAATATCAGCTAAAACACGTCATTCAGAAGAGTTGTTTCTGGCTACCAGTACCAGTTCCACTGAATCCCGGTAATATTTGGTAGCAGCTGCTTTTAGGAGCAGGTCTTCAATGTTGATATTGCACTGACTTTATTATTCAGTTACAGCGATGCAAAGTATCTCCTGTGAGATGCTGAGCCCTGTCAGCTGCATTAACTCCAGGTGGAATTGAGACTACTAACAAGACTCAGTCGTCCCATGGAAAGCTTTTCCCCCCCCATGGTTTTCATAGATTCTGCACCCTACGCTTTATTAGAAGGGTGAAAATGGTACCAGCAAATGGGAAGGAGCACAACTATTTATCACTTGTGATGGTACAGCCTATGACGTTCGTAGGTGGAAGGAGGTGATGCAATTACTTGGGGCACTGAGCTCCGTACCAGCCACAGCCCAGAGCAGCAGACTGCTTATTACACAAAACTGCAGCTTTTACAGTACTTA